ACAAAAATAGAGCTTTTTGGTCTAAACTCCACTCGCCGTGTTTGGAGGAAGAAGAAGGATGAGTACAACCCCAAGAACACCATCCCAACCGTGAAGCATGGAGGTGGAAACATCATTCTTTGGGGATGCTTTTCTGCAAAGGGGACAGGACGACTGCACCGTATTGTGGGGAGGATGGATGGGGCCATGTATCGCGAGATCTTGGCCAACAACCTTCCCTCAGTTAGAGCATTGAAGATGGGTCGTGGCTGGGTCTTCCAGCATGACAATGACCTGAAACACACAGCTAGGGCAACTAAGGAGTGGCTCCGTAAGAAGCATCTCAAGGTCCTGGAGTGGCCTAGCCAGTCTCCAGACCTGAACCCAATAGAAAATCTTTGGAGGGAGCTGAAAGTCCGTATTGCCCAGCGACAGCCCCGAAACCTGAAGGATGTGGAGAAGGTCTGTATGGAGGAGTGGGCCAAAATCCCTGCTGCAGTGTGTGCAAACCTGGTCAAGACCTACAGGAAACGTATGATCTCTGTAATTGCAAACAAAGGTTTCTGTACCAAATATTAAGTTCTGCTTTTCTGATGTATCAAATACTTATGTCATGCAATAAAATGCAAATGAATTACTTAAACAATCATACAATGTGATTTTCTGGATTTTTGTTTTAGATTCCATCTCTCACAGTTGAAGTGTACCTATGATAAAAATTACAGACCTCTACATGCTTTGTAAGTAGGAAAACCTGCAAAATCGGCAGTGTATCAAATACTTGTTCTCCCCACTGTATATGCTAAATTGTTTCCTTTCATCTATCTTATTCATTTCTGTCACGAACGTTGAGAGACGGGTCAGACCAAGGTGCAGCGTGAAAAGCGTACATGTTTATTCACCCAGTAAACATACAAACCAAAACAAGAAACAACGTAACGTGAAGTCCTCAGGCTATACACACACAACCCTACACGGAACAAGATCCCACAATACACAGTAGGAAATGGGCTACTTAAGTATAATCCCCAATCAGAGACAACGAGCGACAGCTGTCTCTGATTGGGAATCACACCCGGCCAAACCTAGCACTGCAACATAGAAATAGACTAACTAGAACATAAACATAGAATTTCTAGCATAGATTCTCACGCCCTGACCAAACCAACTAAAGGGAGTGGAGCAACCGACAAGGCCAGGGCGTGACAGTACCTCCCCCCGAAAGGTGCGTACTCCGGCCGCACCAACCTGACTCATTAGGGGAGGGTCCGGGTGGGCTTTCAGCCTCAGAGGCGGATCCGGCTCAGGGCGTGACGACCTCTTCCTCTCTGTTGCGCCCCTGGTCTGGTCCTCGGCGCGATGCTTCCCCTCTCCTTTCTCCCACGATGCACCAAGCCCTGTCTGGACCCTGGTGTGGGAGACCCCGAACCTGGAGAGGGGCTGACGTCTGGACCTGGATCGGCAATCACCCCACGATGCACCAAGACCTGTCTGGACCCTGGTGTGGGAGGCCCCGACCCTGGAGAGGGGCTGACTTCTGGGTCTGGAGTGGAGCCACTGACCGGAGCTGAACTGGACCCCGGTGGAGCGGACTACTCTGGCTTCGGAATGGAGCCGCTGGACTGGGCACCGGTGGAGCGGACTGCTCTGACTCCGGAATGGATCCGCTGACCGGAGCTGGACTGGACCCCGGTTGAGCGGATTGCTCGGACTCCGGAATGGATCCGCTGACCGGAGATGGACTAGGCACCGGTGGAGCGGACTGCTCTGGCGCCGGAGTGGAGCCACTGACCGGAGCTGAACTGGACCCCGGTGGAGTGGACTGCTCTGGCTCCGGAATGGAGCCGCTGACCGGAGCTGGACTTGGCTCCGGTGGAGCGGACTGTTCTGACTCTGGAATGGAGACGCTGACCGGAGCTGGACTAGGCACCGGTGGAGCGGACTGCTCTGGCTCCGGAATGGAGCCGCTGACAGGAGCTGGACTGGGCACCGGTGGAGCGGACTGCTCTGGCTCCGGAATGGAGCCGCTGACCGGAGCTGGACTAGGCACCGGTGGAGTGGACTACTCTGACTCGGGAATGGTGTCGCTGACCGGAGCTGGATCAGGCACCGGTGGAGCGGATTGCTCTTGCTCCGGATTAGAGCCGCTGACCGGAGCTAGGCTGGACACCGGTGGAGTGGACTACTCTAGCTCCGGAGTGGAGCAACCGACCAGAGCTAGATCAGGCACCGGTGGAGTGGATTAGTCTGGCTCCGGAGTGGAGCAGCCTTCCGGCAAGTATCCATCCCCATCTCTGGAGCAGGACTAAACGCCGTGCCCAGCCTGGGCACCGACGCAGAGGAAAATTCCAGCCCTGTAGTAAGACTGGTTGCCGGCCCCAGACTGGGCACCGACACGTTTAGGAGCTCCTGCTCCAAAACGGGACTGTACGTCGTGCCCACCCTGGGCACCGACGCAGAGGTGGTTTCCAACCCTGTAGTTGGGCTGGTTGCCGGCCCCAGACTGGGCACCGACACGCTAAAGTGCTCCCTGCAGGGGACCGTCGCTGGAGGTCGGGTGAGTTGTGTGGTTGGAGGAGGTGTAGAAACGCCACCTCTCTCCCATCGCTCCAATCTACTCACCACGCGCTCCATTGCGCTGCCGAGAGCCTGGATCCTGCTCGCCTGCCGTTGGATACGTTCCTCCAAAGATCCGGACGGACTGACTGTACCTGCTGACTCCATTTTAGGTGCGTGTTTCTGTCCTGGAACGGGCCGTGCCGGACTGGGAACACGCACCACTGGCTTGGTGCGAGAAGCAGGCACGGGACGTACCGGGCTGGGAACTGTCGTTGGAGATGTACGACTGTTCCAGTCCTCTCTCTCCGCGCCCAATCCTCCTCCAGTGAGGACTCCTCCGGGAGCCCCCACGAGTTAGGGAACAGAAACTCATCGTCGTCGTCATCCTCCGACTCCTCAGTGTAAAACTGTTCCCATTCCTGCTCTCATGGTCGTAGGGACTCCAACTGGAACTCCACCGGTTGCAGTGGTTGGGGCGCTTCTCTCTCGATCCCCGACCACCCCTTTAGCCCCCCCAATTTTTTTTTATTGGGGCTGCTTCTTGGGCTTTCTCCGTGACCGAGTCCTTTTGGGGTCGCCGTTTCTCCTCTCCTGCCTGGGCTTCCTCCTTCGCCCAGGGTCCTCCATCAGCCAATATCTCCTCCCAAGTCCAAAATGACTTCCCCACCTGTGTCCAGGGTGTCTGCTGCTCCTGGGCACGCTGCTTGGTCCTTTTGTGGTAGGATCTTCTGTCACGAACGTTGAGAGACGGGTCAGACCAAGGTGCAGCGTGAAAAGCATACATGTTTATTCACCCAGTAAACATACAAACCAAAACAAGAAACAACGTAACGTGAAGTCCTCAGGCTTAAGTATGCTCCCCAATCAGAGACAACGGGCGACAGCTGTCTCTGATTGGGAATCACACCCGGCCAAACCTAGCACTGCAACATAAAAATAGACTAACTAGAACATAAACATAGAATATATAACATAGAAACTCACGCCCTGACCAAACCAACTAAAGACAACAGGCCTCTCAAGGGCAGGGCGTGACAATTTCTTTCTTGGCATCATATAACATGTAAGGCAAGCAACATGCATTCTATTACTATATTATTTCCACATGTACAGTACTGCCCTTTCATTCATTTTCAGAATCAATTAACCTTGATTATCCATTGATTTAAATAATAGTAAACAGCTTAGCTTCAAACTACACTGTCTCAGATAGACAAGGGTTCAGAGTTTTGCGTAATCTTGAGTGACCCCAGCAGCCATTAGGATTTTTGGAATCTGATAATATGATTAGATCACATAAGAATGCCCACTGCATTCCGTGTTGAACACTAAACAGTTGTCATTGGAGAGATCTTGGGCAGAGACAAAAAGTGAAGGGACTGTCACCGAGTGATGCATCAGTATAATGTAACAAATCTCTTCTCTCGCCAAGGGGCTTTTGGCAGAAACATATCTGGTCGTTTTCATTCTATGTTTCACGCTGAACAATTGGCCTTCACAGTTGAACAGTAGCAGTTGTAGCCTATAGCAAAGTCTACTTACAAAGTAGCTCTTGGAACACAATAGAGTAAAGGGCTGACATGCAAGTTAAATTAACAATGGCTATTTCTGGTTCTGTGTTTGTTACCTTGTGGCTTACGTTATCACATTTCCAGCATTCATAGTGTTTCATTCTCAACACATAAATCCACTCTTCTATATAGGACATCCCAAAAGACAGCTTTGTCTCTCGTGGAGATTTAACTTCTCACTTTTAGATGGAAGTTTGATAAGAAATGCAAAAGGACCCCCAGGGATTGTATGGCATTTTGATGAATAGGTTTTGTGTGGTGATTAATGTTTATAAAATTCGAACAGACACACCTCTACTCAAAAGGTTTTGTAATGAAATGTCAATGAATGCCCAACCCATGAAGCTCTAAGGGCCTGTTTCCTAGACAAAGGTTAAGCCTAGTCCTGGGCTAAAAACCATGCTCAAAGGAGAATTTCATATCGATTTTCTGTATCATCTCATTGGCTCGGAATTCATATTATCGGATATTCTACACATTATCTCAACCTATCAATTAAAAAAGATATATATTAAAAAGTTATATATATTTGTAACTACTTCTTTCCACAATTAGCAAATCACCGAAGAATATTGCGTTCAAGTGGATTCATTATAATGTAAAAAAATCCTGATGCTGAAGTGGATGAATCTAATATGATAATATATTTAAAACAGATATGAATACAGTGTACAATATATCCCTGAAAAGCAACAATGCTCAATCATTCTCAAGATATCCCCTAATTGTTTCCAAGAAATATGAAATATCCCGTGCAGGTTAACCTTTGAGATCTATGTCAAACCCCACTGACACAGTCCTCTTAGTGGTTGTTTGATGGTTTAAAAAAATCTTGTGTTTGTGTGTTTGTTGAGGGGATGGATGTGTGTTTCACTCCCATGTGATATTAGATGTCAGGGAGGTCTAACACCTGTGGTATATGAGACACATCCCACCACAACCTGTTCACACAAACACCTCCTCGGGAACCTCACAGGTAGGATGGGATGACTTGAGACTCAGCTCTCCTGCTTTAGTTTTGAATGGTCAAACCAAACATATTTAGAATAGTGAATAATTGTTTAGGGAAGTTTATCATTTTTGAAATATAACAGATTTTGTTTAGTGGTACATTTTACATGTTTATTTCCTGTATGGGATAACAAATCTCACAACCATCTCTGCATTATCATCTGCTTTGCACTCTGATCATGGATGCTGACTGTGGCTCTTTCTGTTCTGTGAATGTCCTCTGAGTGTCTCTCATCCTCTCTCTCCACAGTAGTTAAGATGCTCTCCCTGTACTGTGTCTCTGCTGTGATGGCTATTGTCCTCCAGCCTGCCTTCTCCATTACCTACAACTGTTCTGCTCTGTACAAGAGGGTCCCAGGTAAGTCCTGAGGGTTGAACCACATGGCTATTCAGGGGTGGAATTCCCCATGTGAAAATCTCAGGGGGAACATTTTGACCTGAACAATAATTGAGACATGGTGATCAGACAGTGGTAAGCTCACTGAGTGATTCCCCCCCAGTAACTTGCCTGGCTGGGCTGATGAGACAGTGGATTGCGCAGTCAGGTGTAACAGAGTAAATAGGCATTTTAACGTCATAGATTTAGCTGGTGGTAACTTGTGGAATAGACACCGGCTGGAATGCGCTTTTAACCAATCAGCATTAAGGATTAGACCCACCCGTGGTAAGATCACTGAGTGATTCCCCCCCCAGCAGCTACTGTAGCCTACTAATGATTCTGTATATGTTTTAACCTCTACTCCCTCTCCTCTGTGGCCACTCAGACAACAACGACTTGACGGTGGACTGCGGGGCCAGTGTGATCAACCTGAAGGTGAACCTGTGTACGGCTCAGTGGGCAGGCTTCGACCCCGCCGGTCTGGCTCTGAATGGAGAGCACAACAAGAGCCAGTGCCAGGGCTTGATTGACACCAGCGTGGATCCGCCTGTCATCCGTTACCAGCTGCCTGTCAATCACAGCCAGGAGAACCCCTGTCGCCAGTCACTGCAGGTGAGAGGGTGACTGTACATTCACTGTGACAGAGTGCCTTAGGTAAGGTGTACATTTTAGTCATTTAGCAGACGCTCTTATCCAGAGCGACTTACAGTTAGTGAGTGCATACATTTGTATTTTTTCAGGACTTCTGCATATATACCGTGCATGCACAATGAGAGAGTGCCTTAGTTACGGTGTAAATTAGGACATCATTAGGTTTTGGGCTATTTAACTGTATGTAATGTATGTCCAAGATTAGCCTTCTGGTGGTTATTTGGGAAATAGGAAAATTGTGTGTAGCCTACTGTGAACTGTGCAATTGTGTAAAATGATACTACCTTACCTTATTATAGAATCGAATGTAAACCAAACCTAATATTTATAAGTTGTGTTTTGTGTACTAGCTAAGTGTCTAATAACAACTTGTTGATCCTATATCAATCCAATCAATCATGATCTTACATTGATGCATCATTGTGTTGGTCCTATATAATTGATCTATCATTCATTGATCTTATATCAACAACTGACTAGACACCCCCTTTCCTTTTCCCTTTCAATCATCAATTCATTGATCCATCATTGTGTTGATTGAGCCTAGATCTTGGACGAGGCCCCGGATGCCTCTGGTTCCTTCAGCTTTTTCTCCAGCGTCCAGTCGGTCATCATCACGGGCTACCTTGACACCCCCAAGTCCTCTGTGGGGATCATCAGTTATGCCACAGACCTCTATTATCACTTCTCCTGCCGCTACCCGCTGGAGTACCTTCTCAACAACACAAAGATCGTGGCGTGAGTCTCTGTCCTCTATCTGTTTATCAGTAAAAATATACTTTATTGATCCCCAGAGGGTGAATTGGGTTATATAGCTAGCGAGGTAGCTAGATGTTTTTTAATTTAATTAAAAAAAAAATTGGGTTACAAATGAACTCTGTATTGCTACCCAGTGATTAATTCAAGGCACACAAACAGACAACGTTTCGATCCCACTGGGATCTTCGTCAGGTCAGCTGACGTATAAATGAACGATGACACTTTCTCCTTCTTCTCTAACTCCAGCTCTCTCCCACTCTTTCTATCTTAGGTCGTCAGTCTCAGTGGCCACTAGTGACAATAATGGCACATTCATTGACACGTTGAGTATGAGTGTTTTTAATGTGAGTGCAGTATTACATTCCTAATGCATAAAAAAGCATCCATTAATGGTCAGGGCTGTTTGAGATGTATATACACTGTCCCCGCCTATAGAATGTTATTACAATGTAACTATATCTTAGCGACATATTATGACAGGTTAATTTACTCTTATTTTACTCTGCTATTAGTCTTTTGATTTGGATATTTACAGAATAAACCTCACCTGTGATCTTCCTCACAACTCCTTCTCTTCTCTACTGTTTGTTGTGCAGGACACTGATTACGGTCACCAATTGGTGGTTCCACCGACAGGACTTGAATTGCGTTCCAAGGTTTACGTGGAGGTCAAGGCCACCAACCTCACTGGGAAGTAAGTCAAGCTTTTGTCTCTTAACTTATCTACTGGATCAATTGTCAGAGTCCACACTCATTTCATGTACAGTATTTTGTATTGTAGTTTGCCATATCCATTATATTCATTTTTATTTGTATATTCTATATTTACATTATTCTGAATGGTATACACTCTTTTTCTAACAAATTGACATGATGACTCTCTCTCTTCTATCTCTCTCTCTCTCTCTCCCTCCCTAAAACAGTTTTAATTTGTTACTTGACCACTGCTTTGCAACCCCATCTGCGTACAACATGTCAAACAATGAGCAGCACAACTTCTTCACAGGGTTTGATAAAAACCATCCTCTCATCAATTTCAAATACAGAGAAATATGGATGATAAATTACAGGCCAATATATTGGTCGTATTAAGTGTGTGCAAAATGACAATTCTTAAAATCCTTATTCACAGATGCTCTGTTGATCCACGCTCATCAGTCACACAGAATGGGATTTCCAAGAATTCCCGATTCTCCTTTGAGGCATTCCGCTTTGTGACACACAATAACTTGGAAAAGTCCAGTATCTACCTGCACTGTATCCTTCGACTGTGTGAGCCCAGCAAGTGTCGGGAACTGGTTGATGTAAGTGGAGTCCACCCAACTACACCATTCTAACGTATCTTGTTCTCTACAATTAGCACCATCGATAGAACAGTGTTGACCTTGACCCATCACAGCAACCTTGTCAAGAGATCGGATCTCTTGGTGTAGTGGCTAACGTGTTGGGATGACAGTCACTGGACCCGGGTTTCAAGTCCGGTTGGCGCTACCCCCGGAATTCGCTGCAATACTATAAATAGTTTGTATAAGCATAAAAACTTGTCTTTGTCACAGGCTTGCAATAGCAGGAGAAAGAGATCGCTGGAGCCTTTTGGATCCGAGTCAGTGGAATCAGCCACTGTTTCTGTGGGACCACTCTATACCAGCAGAGCTGGTGAGACCTGGAATATTCTATTAACCATTTTGTTCAACATTATGTCTGAGATTCTGATATTCAGTAATAATGATCACGGGTAGCAAGTAATTCACTGGAGTTTATAGAGTTAATTGCTATCAGTACCACTGCTACTTAAATTCAATTTCAGTGAATAATATGATGTTTTCCCTCTCTGTTGTTTTTCCTACAGAGGAAAGACCTGCTGCGTTGGCATATAGTGAGTTAAATGTTTTCGCTAAATTCAAGTGTTAAATGGTTAATATGTCTAGGTGGGAGGATAAACTCGTCATTTAAAGCACGCCCCCAAACTAAAGCTCTACTTTTCCTCTGTGTGATCCAGGCAGCGGAGGGGTACAGTCAGGAGGTGACAGGGTTAACATCACAGGGCTGGTGGTAGGGATCCTCTTTGGCACCGCAGCCATAGCCCTGGTGGTCCTAGGCAGCTGGTTTGTCTTCAAGAAGCTCTACTGGGCAGGCGGTCTGTCCCATGCCTTTGACTGAAAGGTGTCTTGGCCAATGACCATCTACCAACTAACCTGTCCACCTGCGAGCTGCCCAATCTGATTCGCCTGATTGGGTGTGTTTCAGATTTCTCATTATGTCAATATTTTTGTAGCCAAAACTACTAGAGGACCTTGAGCGTGTCCTAAGAAAATAAGTTGACACTAGTGTCTAATTCTCCTTTTGTTTATAGATTAAGTTAATCAATTCCTGATACGCAATATCAATTACCAGTTATGAAGGAAAATGTATAAATGCCTGAACCATGTTGAATATTTCACCTTTTGTACTAACATATAAGCATTTCTGAAAGTATGTTAAGCGCTTGAGCAATACTGTACAAGACGAGGCAACATCAATACTTCTCTGAATTGATATCATTATTCTGGAATGTGGGAACTGATATATTACCTATGGCATTTATCTGACTACTATTAATAGCATTGCCTATGACTCCATATATGCACTGAGTCTTCCACAATGCTATAATATGTTATGGGTTTTGGGGATTTTATTTTGATATACTGTACTCAATACAGTTGACTTGTAACCTAAGATGGCTGAGTTTAGCAAACCAAGTTATCGTGTCAATCATGCTGCAATTTCAGACCTGCTGCAGCTGCTCTGTACTGTATATTATTTGAAAAAATACTAAATAAAGTTGAATATGAATTCAATGTTATGTGTAATGGTGTCTATTTTTTATGAGAATACAATAAAAGTACTGCATATGAACTAGCCGTAAAAATACATCCTATTTACACGGTGTAAACTTCACACAAGCTTTATTTACAGTTGACATATAATGCCTTACAACAATCATCCACATGAAATAAACACAACAACGAAAACATCATAAATATACATGGATTACTTACTGTACTGTATATACAATGGTAGAGGAGTTGATATATATATATATATATATATATATATATATATATATATATATATATATATATAAGCATGAGGAGCAGATACAATGATATATCTTAAATGTACCCTATAATGGGACACCATGTTCTTTCTCTCTCTCATTTTGCTATGAGGAGAGTTTTGTTCTGCTTTTACTGGACAGTGTGCAGAATGTCCTGGAGGAGAGCGCTTAGTTTCGCAGAGAAGTCCTCCTCCAATAAGCCCAGAGGTTGCAGAGAAAGCGACTCGCTGGGGCTCTGAGCCTGTGACTCCTGCCCCAGAAGGTGCTTCTCTATTCGGGCATTGAACAACTGGTCCTGTAAGGCGGCGCTCTGGCAGAACTGCTCCATGCTGGTGGACACCTCAGCCCTGAGGGGGTGTGGAGCCAGCAGGAGACGGGCCAGCTTTGCTTTCAGCACCCCCACCCTGCCCTGGACCTCCAGACTCAACGCCTGCACCTCCTGTCCCAGCCGGACGTTCACCTCCTGCCAGAAGTCCCCCTGGATGGTCCCATTGAGCTCCCTGATCATGCTGGATGTCTTGGTTTTGAAGTCCTGGATGACAGAGGTCATTTTGGCACTGCTGTCGTCTAAGGTCTGGCTGATCCAATGCACGGCCTCCAGGTATAGGGTGGGTCCGGCCGCCGCCTGGCTTTCCGCGGCCTCCAATCCCTGAAAGTAGAGCCTGAGGTGGCTACACAGCTCCTGGCTGTTGTCGTTCACGGCCCTCTGGAGCTGCTTGGTCAGGGGGGCCAGGCGATCTCTCATGCTGGCCAGGGTGGACTTGCTGGACTGGGGGTGGGCAGGGTACGGGGCGAGCCTCTCCCTCAGCTTAGTGAGCTCCTGGTGAAGGCGGGAGCGCAGCCTCTCGGACTCCAGGGTAAGCTTGTGCCTGATCTCAATCACCATGGGGTTGGGGCTGTCCTGGGTGTACAGGTTGCTGTTCTCCACATGGCTCTTCCACATCCCACTGTTAACATACAGGATCAGTTAAAACATTGTTATAAGACTGTTATGAGACTGTTAAAGGCTGTTATAGGACTGGTATAGGGCTGTTAAAATACTGTTATAGGATTGTTAAAATACTGTTATAATACTGTTATAAAGCTGTTAAAAGATTGTTATAAGCCTGTTATGAGACTGTTACGGGACTGTTTTGAGGCTGTTATAAGGCTCACCTGTATACATGCATTTATGATTCATGATTCAATTGTTTATGGCATATATTGTATGAAGACATACTTGACATCCTTGTTGAGGTCTGTCTTCTCATTAGCCTGATTGGTCATTATGTCCTGTAGGGCCTGTGATGTTTCTCTGCTGGTACGGTGGAGTGGGTTTGCTACAGTAGGAGATAGGAGAAGTTAACACCATTGATACATTAACTCATTTTAAATGCTATTATTCTCTTTAAAACATTATTGCATCTGCTCTATATTATGATAAACACTATTCGATAGCAGATGCAATGATGTTTTTAAGGAAAAGGAAATGGGAGAAAGCACAAACCTGTGGTTGTCAAAAATGACAAGGCGAAGATCACTACTCTGAGATGCATGTTTTTTTTTCACTGAGGAGAAATGGAAAAATGAATTAGGATTTTTTAACAGGAATCTTCAGACTAAATAGACCAAAAAACAATAGAAGTAGCTGAAGATCAATAAGTGAGAGAGTGGCCTGTCCTTACCTGTGTACTAGGTTTGGCAGAATGACTCTTCATCAAGACCGTGCTTATAAAGGGATGGGTCCTTCTTATCATTGGCTGTCCTTAACTCTGCCTGTGTCAACACACAACACGTGGAGGGTCATGTTGATAACGAATAGCACCGAAACACAACACACAAGAACACTCACTGTGACAGACTGCACAAGCTCCAACATTCCTTGCGACATCGGTTTAAAGAATTTCAAATGACGTCATCCTGTATTAAGGGCAAGATTGTAGAAGCGTTGTGGTCGTGAAAGGAGTCATGTGGGGCGACAGGGTCAATATCAGGAAGAGTTTGCAGGTCAATAAAAGAGGACATACAAGTTGATTAAATTCAACTACCATGGGGACACATTTGTTCCTAAAAAACAACACGTTTAATTATATTTAAATGCACTATTGAATTCATCCACTTAGGTACACTACATGGCCAAAAGTACACTATATATACAAACGACACCCCTTCAAATTAGTGGATTCGGCTATTTCGGCCACACTCGTTGCTGACAGGTGTATAAAATCGAGCACACAGCCATGCAATTTCCATAGACAAACATTGGCAGTATAATGGCCTTATTGAAGAGCTCAGTGACATTCAACGTGGCACCGTCATAGGATGCCACCTTTCCAGCAAGTCAGTTCGTCAAATTTCTGCCCCGCTAGAGCTGCCCTGGTCAACTGTAAGTGCTTCTATTGTGAAGTGGAAACGTCTAGGAGAACGCTACCTGCCCCAATGCATAGTGCCAACTGTAAAATTTGGTGGTGGAGGAATATTGGTCTGGGGCTGTTTTTCATGGTTCGGGCTAGGCCCCTTAGTTCCAATGAAGGGAAATCTTAACACTACAGCATACAGTGACATTCTAGACGATTCTGTGCTTCCAACTTTGTGGCAACAGTTTGGAGAAGGCCCTTTCCTGTTTCAACATGACAATGCCCCCATGCACAAAGCGAGGTCAATACAGAAATGGTTTGTCGAGATAGGTGTGGAAGAACTTGACTGGCCTGTACAGAGCCCTGACCTCAACCCCATCGAACACCTTTGGGATGAATTGGAACGCTGACTGCGAGCCAGGCCTAATCGCCCAACATCAGTGCCAGACCTCACTAATGCTCTTTTGGCTGAATGGAAGCAAGTCCCCTGCACCAATGTTCCAACATCTAGTGGAAAACCTTCCCAGAAGAGTGGAGGCTGTTTTAACAGCAATGGGGGGGGGGGGGGGGGGGGGGGGGGGTCAACTCTATATTAATACCCATGATTTTGGAATGAGATGTTCGACGAGCAGATGTCCACATACTTTTGGCCATGTAGTGTATGTCAACTTGCAGGTTTAAAGTTAAAGTTTTTTTATTTTATTTCAAAAGTATCAGGGGGCTTCACACACACAGTCCCAAAATACTGTCCATGCTGCTGGAGGTCCTCAAGATTGCCTCCGCCACCACCATCGGTCGTCCAGAATTTGTCCGCTGGACGCCAGTCGTTCCTCTTCGTCCGTTGTCATCAAGCGTCTGTGGCACCGAGCCCACACGTTCCATGCTGGCGACAGAGGGGGAGAGGAAGACATGCATGAGCAGCAGGGAGCCATTCTGAACAGAAGTATTTGACCCAACATGTCGACCCAACACACCTCATCCCCATATTGTATTTATATTGTTATTTATTTTGCTAATTTGCACCCCAGTATCTCTATTTGCACATCATCTTCTGCACATCTATCACTCCAGTGTTAATACTAAATTGTAATTATTTTGCACTATGGCCTATTTTATTGCCTTACCTCCATAACTTATTACATTTGCACACACTGTATATAGATTTTCTATTGTGTTATTGACAGTACGTTTTGTTTATTGCATATGTAACTCTGTGTTGTTGTTGTTTTTATCGCACTGCTTTGCTTTATCTTGGCCAGGTCGTAGTTGTAAATGAGAACTTGTTCTCAACTGGCGTACCAGGTTAAATAAAGGTTAAATTAAAACATCTGAAGGATAGAGTGTTTTCTACTCAGGTCCATCTGGCTGCAGGCTGGATGTGACGTGGTGACAAATGGTGGTAGTGGTCGTTGTGGCAGCAGCGGTTTGGCCAGATCTTAATTTGTAAATTGGAAGGTGCCGGAACAAAAAGTAAGCCGATCTGGGGGGCTATTAGGTACGCATGAAAAAATACAGTGGGGAGAACAAGTATTTGATACACTGCCGATTTTGCAGGTTTTCCTACTTACAAAGCATGTAGAGGTCTGTAATTTTTATCATAGGTACACTTCAACTGTGAGAGACGGAATCTAAAACAAAAATCCAGAAAATCACATTGTATGATTTTTAAGTAATTAATTTGCATTTTATTGCATGACATAAGTATTTGATCACCTACCAACCAATAAGAATTCCGGCTCTCACAGACCTGTTCGTTTTTCATTAAGAAGCCCTCCTGTTCTCCACTCGTTACCTGTATTAACTGCACCTGTTTGAACTTGTTACCTGTATAAAAGACACCTGTCCACACACTCAATCAAACAGACTCCAACCTCTCCACAATGGCCAAGACCAGAGAGCTGTGTAAGGACATCAGGGATAAAATTGTAGACCTGCACAAGGCTGGGATGGGCTACAGGACAATAAGCAAGCAGCTTGGTGAGAAGGCAACAACTGTTGGCGCAATTATTAGAAAATGGAAGAAGTTCAAGATGACGGTCATTCACCCTCGGTCTGGGGCTCCATGCAAGATCTCACCTCGTGGGGCATCAATGATCATGAGGAGGTGAGGGATCAGCCCAGAACTACACGACAGGACCTGGTCAATGACCTGAAGAGAGCTGGGACCACAGTCTCAAAGAAAACCATTAGTAACACACTATGCCGTCATGGATTAAAATACTGCAGTGCACGCAACGTCCCCCTGCTCAAGCCAGCGCATGTCCAGGCCCGTCTGAAGTTTGCCAATGACCATCTGGATGATCCAGAGGAGGAATGGGAGAAGGTCATGTGGTCTGATGAGACAAAAATAGAGCTTTTTGGTCTAAACTCCACTCGCCGTGTTTGGAGGAAGAAGAAGGATGAGTACAACCCCAAGAACACCATCCCAACCGTGAAGCATGGAGGTGGAAACATAATTATTTGGGGATGCTTTTCTGCAAAGGGGACAGGACGACTGCACCGTATTGAGGGGAGGATGGATGGGGCCATGTATCGCGAGATCTTGGCCAACAACCTCCTTCCCTCAGTAAGAGCATTGAAGATGGGTCGTGGCTGGGTCTTCCAGCATGACAACGACCCGAAACACACAGCCAGGGCAACTAAGGAGTGGCTCCGTAAGAAGCATCTCAAGGTCCTGGAGTGGCCTAGCCAGTCTCCAGACCTGAACCCAATAGAAAATCTTTGGAGGGAGCTGAAAGTCCGTATTGCCCAGCGATAGCCCCGAAACCTGAAGGATCTGGAGAAGGTCTGTATGGAGGAGTGGGCCAAAATCCCTGCTGCAGTGTGTGCAAACCTGGTCAAGACCTACAGGAAACGTATGATCTCTGTAATTGCAAACAAAGGTTTCTGTACCAAATATTAAGTTCTACTTTTCTGATGTATCAAATACTTATGTCATGCAATAAAATGCAAATGAATTACTTAAAAATCATACAATGTGATTTTCTGGATTTCTGTTTTAGATTCCGTCTCTCACAGTTGAAGTGTACCTATGATAAAAATTACAGACCTCTACATGCCTTGTAAGTAGGAAAACCTGCAAAATCGGCAGTGTTTCAAATACTTGTTCTCCCCACTGTATATATTTATAATACAGCATTGCATGCATTATCGCTTTTGTGTGCTGGCATAGAGTAGTAGAGTAGAGCCGCTTGCAGAAGCTGCACACATAGGAGAACCAAAAATGTAAGCCTAGGATCCGGGGAAATGTGTACTTTTATAAACGCATTTCATGCAATTCTACATCATTTTAGATGATTGGAGACTTCAACAGAATAGTTTTTAATACTTCACAAATGATCAAAATCACAGGCTACTTTGACACTGACATCAATAAAAACGACCTTGTCTTGAATCCATCAATAGCCTAGGCGTGTGGAGACATTGTACAACATGAGGGAATTATAGTCCTAAAACAGCTTTCCAGTTTCACTGACTCGCCCAAAGATGCGCAGCTCACCGTTTATGGCCCATGCGCTCTGCCAAAAGCCTCTGTTCTACTTTCTGTAATACAATGCTGTTCACGCAATAGGCCTATTCGGAAATTGATAACATATTTGGTAGCCTACAGACAGATTAGTCGCGCGTTCCCTACTGCATGCCATGCGATTGGGCTACACACAATCCACAGCTAAGCTATTTGTTTTTATAAGCCATTTATCGTCTGTGGCTAAACTATAGGCATACTCCTGGTGTAGTATTCTGAATTATTGTCATTTCTTTCTGAACAGACATTTATCAGGGGTGCTGCATGATGAAGTGCGACGCTGGAGAGCAATGGCCACGCGTTGTTCATAGGCTATTGTTGCGCAAACCATAAACCGGCCGACCCAACATGAATGCATTCTTAGAATATTAGCTACGTTACGTTTAAGGAGCAGGAGAATTACAGAGGACGCAACTTCATTGAATTTTATTAGAATATTTACATCGCAAACAGTATATATATATATATATATATATTTTCTTGCCACAAGACGTACTGGATCCTGGCAAATGGGTTCCGGAAGGACTGTCCAAAATGTAGAGGTGACGGCTCAAATTAAGCACTGGATTCGGAATTGGTGTGTTCTCCCTCCAGCAGCAGTCCCCAAATGGTCTTCTTCGGTGGGGTTTATCAGCGGTTGGCATCCAACTTTGTTGTGCATTACCACCACCAACTGTGATAGAGTGTGGGCCAGAGAGAAACTAAATCCTACCTGCCAGCCCAGTTTCTCTTTTAAAAAAATATAACCAAATATTTCAGACATATCTAATGATGTTCTACTCAGTATGCTCTTTAAACTTATTTTTCTGTATCCCTTCTCCCTCCTATTTCAGCTGTCTCTTTCCCCTCTCATACTGCCCACACTGTATTAGTACATGCTTCAGTATCTCTATTTCCTGGCAATAATCACACTTTCTTATTGGATGCTTTCCCATCTCATTTAAAGTATTATTTAACTGGCTGTGTCCCACCCTTAATCTTCTAAAAATAGCCTCCTCTCTTATGTCTCCTCCTGCCGTCTGCCACGACTTTCTTCCGTACTTGGAATAAATGCCTGCCCTTAGAGTCTATTCCACTGCTCCTGCCATCTCTGCACCACCACTCTCCATGTCAGGCTTTTTGCCTCTGCTTTGCTCATTGAAACTTCAACAGCCACTACTAAGGGCCTGTTTAGCCAGTACAGCAGCTACCTCGTTCCCCTCCACCACATGGGCTGGGACCCAAGTAAATCTAGTCTGTATACCCATCGGTTTAACCCTGCCATGGGTTGGTAGTACCTCATACAGCAGGTATTGTCTGCTACGTGAGCTAAAGGACTGCAGACTCAACACTGCACATGATTCAGAGCAAATAACTTATGTCTGGCTTGACTTCCTCCAGCCACTGCAAGGCCAACAGTACGGACATTAGCTCCGCCATGTATACAGCAAGGTGATCTGTAATACGTGTCCTGACTGCCACCCCACATTCCTGCACTACAAATGCTGACCCAGAATGTCCTGTCCTTAGGTCTTTTGAACCATCTGTGAGAATGGGCACAAAACCCTGATATACACTATCCAGACATCTATTAAACAAATCAGATGGATCAACCCCCTCCCTATCTTTCCATAGTCTCTCCAACACTCCTACATCAACTACTGGAGGCGGAAGTAGCCATGGTGGGTTCACAGGAATAGCTACCGTAGGGCTAAACTCCATACATTGCCATCTCCCTCACATTACCCCACCCAAAGCTTGTGTTCTGTCCTCGCTCATGTTCCCTGCACGCCTGTAGAATCCCTTTCGCAGGATAATCTCAGAAGAGGAGCTGCAAGCTCCCTTTTCAGTAGTGTGGTAGCTCGTTATTTCAATCATGCCCAGGTGTGGCAGACCTGGGCCAACTCAGTATCCAAGGAGACCAGCCAAGGGGGAGGAGGCTACAATAAATCAATCAGAAAATACAAAAGGAGGGAGAGGCTCAGCAAACCATTGAAAATCATGTAACATAGAGTAAAGCACATAAATGATGATAAAGGTCACTGCAAACTCTAAATAAATATAAAATATACACAAAACAGTCTGATTTCCAATTGGGGGAAAAACAAGGGAGGGTAACATGTGACAGGCACTTAATGGCACTATCAGATATAGAATATTGAAACCAACTAGGCCAAAGCTCAATGATTGCTTCCCGCCAGTCCCTGTCATGAGGCTCAAGTCAACAACTGGGTGAGCCTGGAAAAACTCTACAATGAAGTTCATTCAGTTCATTCTATAAACTATTAGATAAGATTCTTGATTTTGGCTTGAATCCACTCAGTTTGGGGTACACGAAGAGTACACAGACATAGAAAGTAGGCCTCTGTCAAAGACCTCACACTATCTGCTCTGAAAACAATGGTAGTATATATTATCAGGGTCCGGCTGAACTTGGTTGAATGTTTCCATCTGACTAGAGTTCTCTAATCAGTTCTGGAATACTTAATGGAACACTCAGGATCATGGTGGGTGGAGGCACTAGGCTACATTCACAGACTAGTGTTATTGTCTGTGAATGTAGCCTTATTGAGACATAATATATGCTGTTAAAACTCAAACCACATCAGCACAAGTCCAAAAAAATGCCTTCTGAGGCTAAGGCCGGCTCTTCTTGTTCTTGATACCATATCTTGTTTTGATGTGTTTTTACCCTTCTAAAGTCTATGCTAATATGGCTAAAATTAGCTAGTTACTGTATGTAACCAACAACTGTAACAATGTATTTGAGAGACAGTGCTTATTGGGCACATGTATGTATGTTTTCAATAAACATTTGCAGACTAAATATAGTTTACGCGTTGTCAGTATCACAGGAGGTTGGTGGTACCTTAATTGGGGAGGACGGGCTCGTGGTAATGGCTGGAGCGGAATCGGTGGAATGGTATCAAATACATCAAAACACATGGTTTCCATCTGTTTGATGCCATTCCATTTGCTCCGTTCCAGGCATTATTATGAGCCGTCCTCCCCTCAGCAGCCTACACTGGTCAGTATTCCTTTGATTGTAAGCCAACCCCGTCTGTTTTGCCTCAAAGTTGCGCATGTATTGGTTTTGGTATTACTCTCACTCATTTGAACTCATGTGTTGCAATATCTCTATAAAAGTCATAAATATTTATATATGAATGAGTACAACCAGTCATAATGTCATTGATCTGCAGCCATCATGCCAACACAGATGGTTTAACCATCGACTGCAGCCATCATGCCAACACAGATGGTTTAACCATCGACTGCAGCCATCATGCCAACACAGACGGTTTAACCATTGATCTGCAGCCATCATGCCAACACAGACGGTTTAACCATTGATCTGCAGCCATCATGCCAACACAGACGGTTTAACCATTGACTGCAGCCAGAGCACATCCTTCACTCATCTCATCCTGCTTGTATGTGTGTAAAAGGTCACCACAATTCTCTTAGGTAACTAGCTAGTTGTCATTGACAGGGCATAGTCCAGAGTTTCTGTAGTGAATAATGTAGGTTATTCCATGTAGCCAAAGTCCATTCTTGAAAAAAAAAAGTGGAAAAATATATTACATGAAATGTCCTAGAGAGTGGATAACAGTGGCGCACCGCAAGGTCTGAGCAAGGGTGGGAAACAGCTAACTTCCTACAATTCTACACATTTTGCCATGGGGCAAAGAGAAAATGCTCCTGTTTAAAAGCTAATTTCCTGCAATTCTACACATATTGCCATGGGGCAAAGAGAAAATGTGTAGTTTTAATCTCATGCCAATATTCACATTTTGCTATGAGGCAGAGAGGATTTTGCATTTTTAAAGCTAATTTCCTGTAATTCTTTTGCCACCACTTATGACGTGTTCATTATGCTATCTAGGGAAGGGGGGGGGGCGACCTCCAGCGGTGGATTAAGGCCACCTGCTTCGGTTGACTTCTGAACATACTGTGGGTTATTACACATCCCAGGCACACACTCAAGTGCATTCACACTCAAGCGCACACACACGCACATACCCATGCGCATGCACATTCCTAGTGTACACACACACACACACACACACACACACACACACACACACACACACACACACACACACACACACACACACACACACACACACACACACACACACACACACACACAGCCTTGCATTATACACTTTAGTTCTGTATTTGTGGTTTCTAGGCAGTTGGCCTGTATTCAAACTGCTACTTGTTTTCATTGATATTTATTTGGTAAGTGGTATTGATTTAGTACATGCGTAAGCGTATGTGTACCACTAGATAAAGGACAGGCCCGTTATCTCTTAATTTGATGAAGAAGCAAAGGGTGAAGATGTTACCTTGGATTTTGAACACAAGCTGGCAGCATTTCAGTACACAGCACAAAGTTTGACGCAACTGGATAAGCAGCAAAACATAGTATTCATTTCTCACGACCACTCTTTGACCTAGCAAAACGCCAATCAGAAACAGTTTGAAAAACAATCTGCTAATTCTGAAAATCCAATGCAAATAAATAGTACATTCCTAGAATTTTGGGAGAATTGCAATGAACCGTAAAGCAAAGTTGTGATGATGTGACGAGAGACAAATCACTATCAATTCAATATCAGTTCCATGTTATGATTGATATGAACAAAGCCTGTAATCTGACCTGGATGCATTGGGTTGCTGCTTTCAACCCACCAGCCTCCCATGTTACCCTACCTCTCAGTCCCCATCAATTATTCAGTAGACCAGGGAAAGTGCTGGTCTCCTGTCCCCCACTGAGTCTGGGACAGCAGTAGCAGGACCGTCCAGGACCGGGATGATGCTAAGAAAGTTAGGGCCAGGAGTCTGCAGGTGGCCCACCCTGCTGCTTTCGTACCTGTATGTCTTTGTGGAGGAGCACACTGTCTATGGCCACAACAGAACTGAGGAAACCAGGGAGCTGGAGAGGCCATTTTGTGAACAAGGTAGACTGTCTGTGAGTCTCTGCGTGCTTAGATAGACCTGGATATTGAGAATAATTAGGATCCTATTGTGAGGCTATTGTGTTTTAACTGTGTGTGGCATGAGAGACGAAACCTGACTATGCCACCTTGTGGCAATACATGAATACCCTTGGTGCTACACTACCACAACCATCTCATGTGGTAAAACTATATTTATTCAAACAGGATACTATTGTCCAGTGGGAAGTCCCACACCGGTGCCATGTCCAAAGGGTACGTTTGGGCCGACGATTGGTGCTAGATCCATAGACCGCTGTCTCAGCTGCCCAACCAACCACTACTGTCCGCGGCCTGCTCTGCCCTCTGGCCTACCCTGTGGAGCCTGGGCACAGCAGCCCCTACCTGGCCAGGACAGATGTGTGTGTCTTGGAGAAGGGCAAACCTTCCAGGTGTGTGTCTGTGTGTTTGTGTGTATGTGTGTCTATGTGTGTGTGTGTGTGTGTGTGTGTGTGTGTGTGTGTGTGTGTGTGTGTGTGTGTGCGTGTGTGTGTGCGTGCGTGCTTGTGTGGGTGCAAAGCCCTTCTTCTATGTTTAGTATTGTGTATCAATGACTCTGTCCTGTCAATCTTTCGTAGTACCAGGCACACAGGTTGCATGCAAGAACAGTTAACACAATATACAGTATATCCACTGGGTTCATGGGTTCAATCTGTAGCCCGCGGCTCAGAATGTTTCATATCGAGTTTCAACATAGCCGGAGTCTAATTTCGTCTGTGCCAGTCACCCAGTGACTGTTGAGCCTTCCACTCAGCAGCTCATATTCAAAAGGGAAATGACTCTAGGTACTCTGGAAGACTTCCAGGTTTTGGAGATTGGGTGTTGATCTAAGCGTTTTCATGTCAAATCAAATCAAAATCCAATTGTATTTGTCACATGCTTCATAAACAAGTGTGTGGGGAGAGTCCAGTGTGTGTGCTTAGAGTCAAAAGAGTTAGTGCAAAAAGTCTAATGTCTATTTGTGTGCATGTGTGTGTGTGTTGTGTGTGTGTGTGTGCATGCGCCAATATAGGCCAGTGATGGGCAGTGCCCCTGTGCCCTAGGGTACCGGCTCATGGGCCAAGGGGACACGTGTTTGCACAGTGTGTATGATATTTGTAGAGATGGGAGAGCGAGGACACAACATGGAACCTGTCTGGACAGGCAGCAGTGGGCACAGCACTGTACCCAGCAGGTTAGGAGAAGATAACTCACCCATGCATGGACACACACACACACACACAAACTCTACATTCCATGTCAATGGTTCATTGAACAACGTACTGTAATTCATTGAACAAAGTACTGTGTGCAGTACAGGTGTGTTGATAGTACTTTTTTGATAATACAATTTGCTTTACCAAGACATGCATACAAAAACCGTGGAAACTGTTTCCATTGATACATTCTATTCTGTGTAGAATCACAGACAATGTACAGATGGAACTGTAGCAACATGGGTGTCTACTCTGTACTAGTCCTACCAATAATTGATATATACACTAGATCAGTGGTTCCCAAACTGTGGGGCGCGCAGTCGCGAGTACAAAAAAAAATGTAGGAACTCAGTCCGGCTTTCAATTTACTCTTGAAAGTTGTAATAGTAGAATGCACAAGGTGCAATTTCAAAATTGGGTAGTGCATCATCAGATTTCCTCTTGTCATGTCAGTCATTGTATACCTTAGAGTTATTTATAACTTGTCAGAAATGTCCAGATCAACTAGCCCATGTCAGCTAATGTTTTTTAGCTAGGTTTTTCAGCTCATAGATTTTGTTGTAATGCTTGAGTCACTCAAATATCACTTGAATACACATTAGACATGGCAAAATGTATAGAATTGCAAGACAATAAGCTTTAAACCTGCAAAATGTTCTCTCCACCAACAAGAGGGGTGTGAACTGTTTGTGTCATGAACATTGCTTGTGCCCATAGAAATAAACGTGGCGCACGTATGCGTGCGCAGTGGGGGCGCGGGATGTTCTCGAATGCTGGAAGGGGGGCCGGAGTGAAAACGTTTGGGAACCCCTGCACTAGATGAATACAGGGAACACTGTTTTGAAGCCACCGCGCCTCCATCTTGGCACTCCCCCACCATTTGTAAAAATATTTTGGAAGCTATGGAAATGCATTTATTAATGTCTACATTTGTTTTTGCCACATTTATTATATTATTCTATCATTGGCCAATACATAGCATCAGCAATCCTGGGTTTATGTAAATAATTGAGTCCAACTTAATGTGTAACCTTTTTCACTTGACTGGCTGCTGCTCAGTCCCAGCCCTTTCCTTTAGTCTGTAGGTCAACAGACCTCAAGTGTTCCTCTCTTCCTCTCCCAGGTGTGTCTCTCTCCAGGGGACTACCAGGGCTTTGATGGAGCTCTGGGCCTGTGTCTGTGTAGGCAACCCCCAGAGAGAGCAGTGTGTGGTGGCTGGTGCAGGAGCAGGCCAAAGCTGGAACTGCATTTAGTGTGTGCTGCTGTAAACTTGCAGCTGGTATATAGCAACTCTGAAGGCCAGGTAAGCCATGATGACTTCAGCATGTGTAGGAAAGAGTTGTATGGCAGACACATTATGAGCACATACTCACACAAGGCACCACGCACACACACTCACAAGGCGACATACATGTATGCGACCAATGAAAAATGTGATTTGATACACACACACATACGATTATTTGTCTCTCTGAAATTAAACCATCTAGTGATGTCTGTCATTGAATAACCCCATGCCATGATTAGATAGTGAAGAAACACACCAATCTCTTACATAATTTATTTAAACAATAAAAGCTCATTTACCAACATTTCTGAAAATGGATATATTGCATTTTGGAATGAAACTCTTTAATTACAAACATTTTATCCTGTTCCCTTAACTCCAACCAACATCCATAGGACAATTTATTGAAAAATGTACAAGGGTATACAGTACACTAGCTTGAGTTGCAACTTAGCTTGTACAATCACAGACAATGTACAGAAGATGCACTGAATAAACTTGAATATCACATACTTGGATATCATATGCTTGGACATCATAGACAGCCACGTAGAGTAACAACCTGACATATTTATCAGTAAACGGCCCAGTGTTTTCTGTAACAGGTGAGCGTCTCAGGGAGTGTGCTGCTGGAGACCGCGTTCAAACGCTGGGACTCCCAGGGGACCTTGCAGTGTGACGGTCGCCACAATGTCTCCCTTCCTGTGTATACAGTGCAGACAAGTGGTGAGCTCCTCGGGTACAGTGTGGGCCCAGTAATAATAGGCCCTTAACCCATAGTAGGACCAATAATAACAATGAGTGTCTTATTATTGATTTTATGTTTTAAAATATATTTCCCTTTATAACTTTCCAACTCCACCACCAACAATGACTGTCTTTGTGTGTCTCTGCTTTTTTAAAGATGCAGGGTTCCTTGGTCTCCTCAATGACATCCCAGCGGAGATTCAGAAGTTATTTCCAGAGAAAAGCAATGGAACGCACATCACAACAGGTTACCTATCATCAGAGAATGATACAAAACCTACAGTACTGTGAAAAAGTATTTGACCCCTTTCAAATGTCCCTACTTTTGCATATTTTTGATAAGGAATGTTTTCAGATCTTAAACCAAAACCTAATATTAGATAAATGGAACCTGACTGAACAAATAACACGACAATAACATACTTATTTAATTTATTTCATAAACAAAGTTATGCAACACCCAATGCCCCTGTTTGAAAAAGTAATTGCCCCCTTCCTTACACTCAATATCTGCTTGTGCCACCTTTAGCTGCAGTGACTCCAACCAAATGCTTCCTGTAGTTGTTGATCAGTCTCTCACATCACTGTGGAGGAATTTTGGCCTACTCTTCCATGCAGAACTGCTTTAACTCAGTGACATTTGTGGGTTTTCAAGCATGAACTGCTCATTTCAAGTCCTGCCGCAACATCTCAATTGGGGTTAGGTCTGGACTTTGACTAGGCCATTCCAAAACCTCAAATTTGTTGCTTTTTAATGTAGACTTGATTGTGTGTTTTGGATCATTGTCTTGCTGCATGACCCAGCTACGCTTCAGCTCACAGATGGATGGCCTGACATTCTCCTGTAGAATTCTCTGATACAGAGCAGAATTCATGGTTCCTTCAACGATGGCAAGTCGTCCGGGTCCTGAGGCATCAAAGCATCCCCAGACCATCACATTACCACCACCATGCTTGACCGTTGGTATTTACATTTACGTAATTTAGCAGACACTCTTATCCAGAGCGACTTACAGTTAGTGAGTGCATTCATTTTTTTTTTTTTTTCATACTGGCCTCCCGTGGGAATCAAACCCACAACCCTGCCGTTGCAAGCGCCATGCTCTACCAACTGAGCTACACGGGGGTATAAGGTTCTTACTGTGGAATGCAGTGTTTGGTTTTCGCCAGGCATCATTTTTGTTATTTGTAAACTCAGGTTCCCTTTATCTAATATTAGGTTTTGGTTGAAGATCTGATAACATTCAGTATCAAAAATATGCAACATAAGAGAAAATCAGAAAGGGGGCAAATACTTTGTCATGGCACTGTACATGTTATCATAATTTTACTGTCCACACACTCTTACTGATAAATTATTCTCTCTGTGATTAATTAATCCATCCATCCATCCATTCCTCTGTTTGTTTCTTTGTTCGTTTGTTAATTTGTTAATTTATTAATTCATCCATCCATCCATCCATCCATCCCTCCATGACTATTTGCTACCAGGTGACTTTGGTGTCAGAGAGGGAGGGTCTGATTGGTCCAGCAGAGCGACCATCTGGGGAGGAACCATGAACTCCAGCTCTGTGGGGATTCTGAACCCTACTGCATGTCTACACCTAGGGGACATACTGCTCTTCACTGTCAGCAGACAACACTACCCTCAATATGACGTGTAAGTCAATCAGACTGTGCTCCTGATAGTGGATTTTCTACCCTTCGCTCTCAGAAATGTGTTTCTTATTTGCATAGTGTCAAACCTCTTCATCCGGGACAGGGTGCTGTTGCAAATCCAACGCACTTCTGAAAATGCAGTATGGAAAAGCCACTATCTGCAAAAATTATTTCGGCCTTTGTGTGGGTATCTTTCTATGATCAGTATTTTCTTTATCCTTTTTTACTACTGAGCTTCAAGCGTCCTGTCTTGTTGTCCAGAGAGAACCTGTTCAATACCAACCGTGACTTTGACTGGGGTCCTCTGAGGCAGCTGGCTGAGGACCTGAAACTGGCCAGGACTCCCCCGACACTCTTCTCCATGGTCTTCACTCAACCTGGGGTGTACGCCTTCAAACTCAGTGATCACCAATACAAACACATGGTATTACCCTGTTTGCTCGAACAGGGCCTTAGATGTTCTTATGTAATGAACAAAATGGGTGAAAGGTGCAATCGTTGTATAGTAACGTCACGCTCCTCTTCATTTATTTTCTTTATTGTGTTATGGAGTAACTTTAAACTGATAAAAGTGAAATCCATAAGCCTTCCCAATTTCTAAAGCACATATGCTCATGTGCTCCTCCAGTATGTGAGGGTAATGCCAGCAGGTGGACAGTGCTATGAGGCTGGACCGTTCTTCCCCACTGTCCCCCATCATGTGACAAGGATGGGCATCGCCAAGAGACGACACCTGCTCCTACGCCCTGACTGGTTGGTGACAGGAGGACTGCTGATTGGTGCTGTGGTCGTCCTCAGCCTGTGTGTGACGCTGCTGGTAAGAGCACTTCTTGGCGTTGACAGACACACACATGCGTCCTCACAGGCATGCCCTGATTGCAAGCACACACACACACACACGTCCATAAACATTATTGGCAAGTGTAATGGGGAAGTCACTAAAGTACCATATTCAGTTTAGAAAATGCATATGTGTAACAGTTAAGAATGTAGGGGAGAGTGGGGTCAGTCGAGCCAAAGGGTTAGTTGAGCCACCCCTTCTTTCTAGGAAACTATACATAAAATGAATAATGTCACCAAATATTTAGGAAAAAATGATTTTATGGAGTCTGTGAAGAAAGAAACCACATGGAAAAAGTGGTAAGCAAATTAGGTCCAAAAAAATGATTTTCAAATGAATGTATTGTGTTATAGGTTTCATGATGCTTGTATCTAAACCAAAGTAGAAGATCATTTTAATACTGTTCTATACATCAGTTAGAGTCTCTATTAGCTTATACAGTATATGCGGTCCTAAACCTAGCATGAAAGTGCATCCGTGTAGCTGTGTGGGCTAATATAGTCAAAATGGTTACTGTGGGGCAGTGGTGGAAAGTACTTAAGTAAAAATACTTTCAAGTACTACTTAAGTAGTTTTTTGGGGGGGTATCTGTACTTTACTATTTATATTTATGACAATTTTAAGTTTTACTTCACTACATTCCTAAAGAAAATAGGACACCCAAAAGTACTCGTTACATTTTGAATGTTTAGTAGGACAGGAAAATGGTCCAATTCACGCACTTGACAAGAGAACATCCCTGGTCATCCCTACTGCCTCTGATCTGGTGGACTCACTAAACACAAATGCTTTGTTTGTAAATTATGTCTGCGTGTTGTAGTGTGCCCTTGGCTATCCGTAAAAAAATAATTACTAATAATTGTGCCGTCTGGTTTGCTTAATATAAGCAATTTGAAGTATTATTTTAATGGTTGACTTTCACTTTTACTTGAGTAATTTTCTATTAAGGTATCTTTACATTTACTCAAGTATGACCATTTTTTTAGTATTATTTTAATGGGTGACTTTCACTTTTACTTGAGTAATTTTCTATTAAGGTATCTTTACATTTACTCAAGTATGACAATTGGGTACTTTTTCCACCACTGTATTTTTCCTTTCTGTAATACACATGATTTTCAGTGTTCTATTTGTGACACTCAAGGTGCTGGTTGATGGTCACTAGACCTTTATACTGAATGTTATGAATTATTCTCATATCTGTTGATTGCCATCAGAATGGAGGTACAAGGACACTGATTATTCACTGTTCTATTGTATTGATGACATTCACTGCCTTTTTTTGTTTTGACTTCTTACAAGCCTCTTGGGCTGGTGTTGACTACCTTTCAGCTTCTAGTGGAGCAAAGGTCATGCACATTGTACACACAATTCTGTTTTTACACACAAGTCAGACAGATTTGTATTCCCATGTGTAGATCTTGTTTCGGGAGTATGGCTGGCCAGAGAAAGTGGCCACCAGAGCCCGGTACCGTTCGCTCCAGCTCCAGTACCCCATGGAAGACTACTCCTCAAAGGGTTCCAGGGTGACCACATTAAAGAAACACCACAGAAATCTCCAGGCCAGGATGACAGAGGCCTCTGTACAGCCCGGTACAGTATAATATATCCTCCTCATTCCCACTCACTCTTCACCCATCATAGCCCATAGGCAAACAAGCTACCCAACCACCTTATTATACAACATTCCCAGGGACCGGACCATAGTATAGCAGCTCACACCTGTACCCTTTACTACCTTACACAACCCTGTTTACATAACAGTGAGAGTGACCCGTAGGCACCCAAAAGCCACAACCAATCACACTGGTGTGGTGCTTGCGAAATACCACCATTCACGTGCATGCTCACGCAATATCAACAGCCACACATACTACAACTGAAACAATCTTGATCAAGTTGGACAATCAGCCCAAATATGCTTAGATTTGTTATATTAATATTTTGGCAATTGAATTTCTTTGCAATTTACATTGCATGAAATCACTTCAGTGGCTACAGGCCAGTTGGTAGAGCATGGCGCTTGCAACGCCAGGGTTGTGGGTTCGATTCCCACGGGGGGCCAGTATGAAAAATGTATGCACTCACTAACTGTAAGTTGCTCTGGATAAGAGCGTCTGCTAAATGACGGAAATGTAAAATGTTTAAGAATAAGATCAGTATGCAGACAAATTGTCTCAGTAGCTGATTCAGCAGAATTTATAATGGAATACTTTTTTTATGTGAACAATCAGTGCCAGACAATAGGGACACAATGTTACAGTAATATCAGTAGCGGTGCGTGGGTAACATCACTGGGGAAGCCAAGCCAGACAAAAATGCCATATTCCAACCTATGTGTTGTGACAATTGCATTGTTTGCTCTATAACCTGTTAGTTCATATGCCTTGCGACTGTGATATATAGGCCTAAGGCCGAGACAATAAGAAGACACAGTGGCAGAATAAATTCAACCACACCTTTGTTTCATCACAAAACCCGAGAGCAACCTCTGTCTGGTGAAGTCCACAAAGCAACAAACAGTTACATGACCTACAGCATGGTCAAGCAAGTTAATGTTTCCAACATATTCAGACTACTAAACAACTATTGATTTAGAACCACAGAGAGTTATCGCAAGTCGCAAACAAAACAGGAGCTGCCTCCACTATTCCAGCACAATTTCATCAAATCACCTATGCTTAGTCTAATACAGTGACAACTAGAAGATACCAAAAACAATTTAGTCCAATCAACATAAGCTAAATATGATTTGGATGTCCATGGTTCTGATTTCTCTCTGTGTGTACGTGCAAGTAGAAAAAAACATGTTGACTCACCCTGCTTGTAGAGAAACGCCAATGCCATCCTCCTCTCTTCCATGTTGACGAAACAGTCTATGACTCCGTCATACAGTATGCTTTTAGTTTTTGTTGTCCTAGGCTACCTGGCTAAAATGCTTGCTCGCTAGCCTAACTTCCTTTCATGGGCAACGTTAGCCAGTTAACATTAGCCTACTACAACTAGCTACATATTGAGCTTCCATCCTCTCAGGCCAGGGGCACAAATTATGAATTTATGGTTTGTATCAGAATCGCTGTTAAAATCATTGGCCAATACAGAGAATTAAGTAAAACCCACAAGTCCAAATCCCTATCTCCATCCATGGCTAATTTAGGAAAGGGCCAAATTTAGCTAGCTAGCCACCAGAGGACAACAACACAATGAGATGCAACAATTCTATTTTTTTCTGTCTTTTGATGTTTTGCTCTCGATGTGATGTGAATGGTGTGAAGCCAAATCCAAGCTGGCTTCCCTTGACACTTTTTTTGGTGTGCCAGGACCATTCACAGTTGAGCTCACTCAGTTTAGCTCTACGCTGATTGGCTATTATTTTATACTTTATTTTATCAAGGGAGGCCAAATGCTTGCTGGCTTCCCTTGCATTCAATGCTACGGGTGGCAACAATGTCATACTCTTTTTGACCAGATAAGCCTAGATTTTTGTGGAAGGTACTACACAGCGCAAAGACCCCCTTGCGCACTCAGCGTCTGTCGAGATATGTTGAGTTTCCTTGTAGCCTATTGCCTGAATGTGAATTTATTTTTAGTCTGTTTGATAATTGTCATTAAATCATGCATAGCTGTTCTTTATATGGCCGACATTTGGACGTTTCAATTAAAAAAGATTGTCACATTACTATAGAAATAGAAACATTGTGATTTTAGAGACATAAAGTAACAATAGCCTGTGATTAAAGGGTTAGTCTATACACTCTTGGTCTTCTGTAGCTCAATTGGTAGAGCATGGCGCTTGTAACGCCAGGGTAGTGGGTTCAATCCCCGGGACCACCCATATGTAAAAATGTGTGCACACATGACTGTAAGTCGCTTTGGATAAAAGCGTCTGCTAAATGGCATATTATTATTATAAAAAAGGGTTCCAAAATGGTTCTGCGGCTGTCTCAATAGGATAACCTTTTTTGGTTCCAGGTAGAACTCTTTTGGGTTCCATGTAGAACCCTCTGTGGAAAGGGTTCTACATGGAACCCCAAAAGGTTCTACCTGGAACCAAAAGGGTTCTATCTGGAACCTAATTGGGTTCTTCAAAGGGTTTTCCTATGGGGACAGCCAGAAGAACCCTTTTTGGTTCTATAGATGGCACCTTTTTTTCTAAGAGTGTACTGGGCTCTCCAGTCTGAGGAGTATTTCTGTCTGTAATAAAGCCCCTTTGTGGGGAAAAACTCATTCCAATTGGCTGAGCCTGGCACTCCAGTCGGTGAGCCTGGCTCCCAAGTGGGTGGGCGTATGCCCTCCCAGGTCCACCCATGGGTGCGCCCCAGCCCAGTCATGTGAAATCCATAGATTATGGCCTAATTTATTTATTTCAATTGACTGATTTCCTTCTATGAACTGTAACTCAGTAAAAAAATTGAAATTGTAGCATTTGTTGCATTTATATTTTTGTTCAGTATATACAACATTCTGCACATGTGAACTAATTGATATAGGCCTAGGCTACAATATTCAGCACATATGAAGGAATGTGTATACAATATTTGTAGCCATACGTGATTTAATGAAAAGCAGTAAACATATGCATTTAATAAAATACTAATGAACACAATCAGGCAATAGTTAACATACACAACATTGTTTAACATTCTTTAATAACGGACTCATGAAGAAAATCACGCAATAGTCTACAGCTGGCTTCCCGGGGAAACTCTACATATTGTAGCCTCACCGGGATAAAAGAGTGGCGGAGGAAGGAGTTTGATTCTGATGCGGTGTTCGCGGTAAAATATTACGCGTTGTAGCGGTGGTTCAGGTGAGCTTCATTCAGCCTCTTGCGAATTGAAGGAAAAGTATGATACACGAAATACTTATCACTGAATACAGATATCAGTAAGTCACAGTGGGCCAAATCCTAACTTGAGATCTGTGCACATAACTCCCGACTTTCATGAATATCATTCATGGATATCAATTTGAGTTAAGAGCATGGATCTCAAGTTAGGATTCGGTTTAGTATTAATATGCTAATACAACAAAATACCTATTCAGGATAACCACCCTTCATATTGACTATTTATCTTTGTAGCCCTCATATACATCCCATTGGGCACACACTGGTTGAATCAACATTGTTTCCACGTTATTTCAATGAAGTTATGTTACACCAACGTGAAATAAACGTTGAATTGACGTCTGTTCCCAGTGGGATTTAGCAAATGCTTTTATTCAAAGCGACTTACATATGGGTGGCCCCATACCCTTGGTTGCAAGTGCATGCTTTATGCTATACATTCTGTGTTCTATTTAATTCTGTGATAGACCTGGCTTTGGAGGCAGATGAGTTCTGGGACTATGAGCATCAGGTGGACCTGGAGGCCTTCAGCACTAATACCTTCTACAGCATCCTACTAAAACACAGTGTGTCTGTGACCGCTACACTGGGTCAGCTCAGAGGAGAGGTATAACCCTGCAGAAATTGAATAACAATAGTATTATAGTATTATAATGTAACTCTATAGGATTAGATTTTGTTTTATAGTTTTAGCAACATGATCTCACAAACTCACAGCTATTTTACATTATACTCTATGTACAGGTATCTCTAAAGGTAAGCCCACCTCGCACGACACCTCTCACTCTCACCACCATCCATCCCCTTCCCAGGCCTCAAATATCCCGAACATAAAGCCCAAGTAAATCGAGACAATGTCATATTGTATAGTCTTCTCATATTGTATGACATATTGGAATGCTTGTGTTTTTTTTGGTTACACCCCTTTTTCACCATATTCAGGGCCGGTCCTAGCCTTTTGGGGGCCCTAAGCACCTCATGGGCAAAACATTTTAGTGGCCATCCTTTTAAAAGCGGAGAGAAGAAAATTAAGTTTTAAAACAAGTTTGCAGCAATTCTACATTTTGTAATGGGGCGGAGAGAAGATTTAGCAATTTTATAAAGCATTTTATGCAATTCTACTCATTTTGTCATGGGGCAGAGAGAAAAATTTGCAGTTTTAAAGATAATTTCCAGCAATTATACACATTTTGCCATAGGGTGAAGAGACATTTTTGCAGTTTTATAGAGAATTTCCTGCAATTCTACACATTTTGCCATGTCCTTCACCCTATGGGGTCACGGCCAGGGTGTGCCATTATCAACGGCAACCCTGGAGCAATTAGGGTTAAGTGCCTTGCTCAAGTGCGCATCGGTCTTTCCTGTTTGTGGTTAGAGTATAGGAGACTGGTTAGGATTATTACACCGCTCCGGGGAGCTGGGCCGATAAGGTTGTAATATGAGGAGCGTGGACTCTGCACGTCTTTGTGAACCCTGTTTCGGAGACAGAAACGTGCCATGCCCTACAGTGTTTGTTTGTGTGTGTGTGTGTGTGTGTGTGTGTGGGTGTGCAGGTGAAGGACCTGTATCAGGGGGTGATGGGCAAGCTGAAGGGGCTCCAGCTGCAGTCGGGCTGGTCTGCAGTTGGGAAGACCAAGGAGGGCTATGAGAGGCTGCGCAGGCAGGTGTGTGTTGCCCTGACCTGAATCAAATACATGATACTTCCGCTGTACAAGTACCAATGGAGTTAACGAAATAGTCCCAGAAGTGCAAACGTCAAGCTAAATCAAGTGCACCTTGTATTTGACCCAGGTCTCATTGTTTTACATCCATTGCATTCCATACTAACATTGTGGTAAGTAAAGTACTGCAATACCAGATGCTATCCCCCTGTTGCCATAAGAGGGCATTGTCATGTGCCACTGTGATCCACTGCTGCCTCCATCTCTCCCACTAAACACCACCAGGTGGAGCAGGAGGTGGTCCGGCGCAGGTCCCTGGCCCAGCAGCTCAGGCATCTCTTGGACAGCCAGCTTGGGGTCCTGAGGACGGAGCTGAGGGCCCAGCAGACGGTGCACAGGGCCTTCGGGGCCCGTCTCAGGGAGTGTGTGAGGCTACTGGGCCAAGCAGTGGACAACACTGACCACCCTCTCTGGGATGAACACCCACAACAGTAATGTCTGAATCTGTGTCCGTTGTCTCTTCCTGTCATGCTTGTGTATTCTGGGAAGAGCTTTGAACTACAGCTGTTTTTCATTGGCCAGGGGTTTTAATGAGACTGTTACAGTTATTCTCAATCGCGTACAAGCATCTTTTGGACCAATGTTGTCGATTTACAAAACAGAGTCCACAAAACACAGAACTCTGTGGCCATTGGCAAAACTCAAAACATAAATACATTCATCAAAACTATATTATACTGTCAAAATTGCAAATCAATTCATCAAAAGAACACGACCGCCTGCAAAAACATTAACGCAACCATACTTATCTCTTGAGTCCAAGCAGACAAAAGAGAAAGTTTGTCTTTTAAAAATTCCAGTAGATCAACACATTTTCTTTACAGTCACTAAATAATGATGATCAAAATTGGAAGAACAACTATCCAAAGGTGCAGAATTATGGGTAATTACTCTCCTTTTATGCATATTTCACCAAACAATTTTATACACAGAAAATAAAATAAATAATAAGCACATTGTGTGCAGGATTCATTAATCAAAAAAATCAAAAAAATGTGTCCCCATTGCCTAGCTATTTCCCTATATATACTGATTGTGTGATTTAGAATTTAGTAGTATAATACGGTAGTATTTACTTATTGCCAGAAACAGTGAACACATTTCTCTTCCGATGAAAATATGTGTTAATATTCGGTGAACAAAACACTTAAATTACATTTGTATTTAAAGTTCAGCAAGATATGCAAGTCAGGTACAAAGGCAATAAAATAATCAGAAGTTCTGTAAATGTATTTAAGAATTTGATCATTGCTGTTCTGCTATAGATACGTTTTAACACAGATCCCAACATTGCTTGTACGTGAAAAAAAAAACGAACTTGCCTTTCATTGGTCTGTTAAGATCAGGGGTGTCATCTTGACTCCTGGAGGGCAGCACATCAAATCAAATCAAATCAAATTGTATTATCACATGCGTCAAATAAAACCGGTGTAGACTTTACAGTGAAATGCTTGCTTACGAACCTTTCCCAACGATGCAGAGTTTAAAAACAATAACTAACACAAGAGGAATAAAATATAATACATAAGAATGGAGCTATATACAGGGAGTACCAGTACCAGATCAATGTGCAGCGGTACGAGGTATTTGAGGTAGATATGTACATGAAGGCAGGGTAAAGTGACTAGGTATCCGGATAGATAATACTTAAAATAAAAATAAAAGAACAGAGTAGCAGCAGCAAATTATGAGTGTAAAAGTGTGTGTGTGTGTGTGTGTACATATGTGTGTGTGCTGTGTCGGTATGTGTGTGTGTGTTATGTGTGTGTGTGCGTATGTAGTGTTTGTGAATGTGTCAGGGTTTTGTGTGGGAGTGACAGTGTAGTGTGTGTGTGAGTGAGTGAGTTTGGGGGTAGAAGCTACCTCGGAGCCTGTTGGTCCGAGAGCCAATGCTCCGGCACTGTTTGCCGGATGGTAGCAGAGTGAACAGTCTATGGCTTGGGTGGCTAGAGTCTTTGGCAAATTTTTTGGAGCCTTCCTCTGACACCGCCTAATATAGAGGTCCTGGATGGCAGGGAGCTCAGCCCAGTGATGTACTGGGCTGTCTGCACCACCCTTTGTAGCGCTTTGCGGTCAAGGGAGGTGCAATTGCTATACCAAGCGGTGATGCAGCCAGTCAAGATGCTCTCGATGGTGCAGCTGTAGACATTTTTGAGGATCTGAGGGCCCATGCCAAATCTTTTCAGCCTTCTGGGGGGGAAGAGGCACTGCCGTGTCCTCTTCACGACTGTGTGAGTGTTTGTGGTCCATGTTAAGTCCTTAGTGATGTGGACACCAAGGAACTTGAAGCTCTCGACTTGCTCCACAACAGCCCCGTCGAAGTGGATGGGAGCATGCTCTCCCCTTTTTCTCCTATAGTCCACAGTCCGCTCCTTGGTCATCCTGACGTTGAGGGAGAGGTTGTCGTCCTGGCACCACACTGCTAAGTCTCTGACCTCCTCCCTGTAGGCTGACTATTCGCTGTCGGTGATCAGGCCTGCCACCGTTGTGTCGTCAGCAAACTTGATGATGGTGTTGGAGTCATGCGCAGCCACGCAGTTGTGGGAGAACAGAGAGTACAGGAGGGGACTAAGCACACACCCGAGGGGCCCCCGTGTTGAGGGTCAGCGTGGCGGAGGTGTTGTTGCCTACCCTCACCACCTGGGGTCGGCCCGTCAGGAAGCCCAGGATCCAGTTGCAGAGGGAGGGGTTCAGTCCCAGGGTCCCTAGCTTGGTGATGAGCTTGTTTATCCTTGCCTTTAACAGTAGTTATATTAGTAACGGTAGACCTGGGAAACCAAGTGTCTGGACTCTATACAATCAGAAATGTTATGTGATCAATTAACAACAATGGAGAAATGAAAACCATCAGGAATACAGCAGCACTTGAGAACAGGAGCTATGCACCCAAGTTAGATAGACCTTACTATGCTTTTGTGATGAGAGCTTTGTGGTACACAGTTAGGACCTTGAGTTTTCCCAATGCCTGACAATGTGACCTGACCAGAAAAAAACTCTGGGCCCTATGATCTTTAATGCAGTGTTGTCCAGAGGGTGGCGTCACTGGCATCTGAGATGGCAGAGCAGGTATCGGGGGAGTGCCAGCGGCAGGGGGCATGGGCGACCCTGGGAGAGGGCACGGGGGCGAAGCTTCTGTGTCCCGACACTGGCTCAGTCCTTAGCAAGGAAGACATCATAGGTGAGACCTCCTACCATACTGCACCAGGCTTGAAACCGAAGTCATTAAATAACTGATACAGTATCTTACAGTACAGCCACACAACTGCAATTAACAGTCATTCTAGGCTCTATTATCTGTCCCTGCTAAAGTTGTGAAGTTCAGAGAAATACATATTTTATATGAATGAAGATAAATAAATAGTAGTTACTCACACAAGTCACCCTGATTAGTGTTTTGTTCACTCCAAAGCTGTAGCGAGTGAATTGACGCCACCTTGTGGTACAAAGATGTTATGCATTTGTCAATGGGACAAGAGGGACAATATATAATGTAAATCAGCCTACATTCAAGTCAGATTAATTTTGCTTCATAGACACATTGGCTGTGGTAAGAGATTTTACTGAAATACTGTTATAAAGTTTGACATATCACTTCCTACTTCATTTCTTCCAGCCCCTGATGGGTCAGTGCGTGCCTGTGGAGCGGTCCATACAGACTCTTTCACAGGTCTCATACTACCCAAACCCCACACCCACATGCTCCTGGCCAGCGGGCACAGTATGCCAGTGCCCCCTGACTTCTTCCTCCACCCTCAGACTGGCAGACTGCTGCCCGTAGCTGGCAACGTGGGCTATGACCCAGCCAGCTCTACCCTAGTTTTCACAACAGACTCATGTACAGGTGAGTCAAGAGCGCTGTGTGGTAACCACAACTAGAGATCGATAGTACATGCATTACGACTTTGTAATGCACTTTAACTTTGTAAATGTACGTACAACAAGTTCACATACAAACAATTCACACTCTTTCACTTTTTAAAGGAATAGTAATGATTTAGATTCACTCAAATCCAAATGTGTGATTTAGATAAGGATGTAGATACTTAAAATGTCCTGCTCCTTGTTATCAGGGGATATGAGAAAGTGGGAGTTTCCCCTCCTGCCGTTTGTGCCATACCCCCTCTCCCGCCATTCAGCCCAGCCCGTGACGACCCGACTGAGGGGCCTCCGCCCTGGACAAAGACTGCTGCTAGGGAGACCCATGTGTGACCCGGACACAGGCATCCTGGTGCCCATTTTAGCTGTGACCATCCACCCTCAGACTGGGCTGGTGTACCCCCTGGGAGGGGTGCATGTGTGCCCCCTCACCCGTCTGCCCCAGCCCATCCAGGTGGGCTCTCCCATGTTGGACCCCATGACAGGAAATGTGGTGCTTACTGCCGGAGTCAGTCTAGATCTAATAACAGGTCAGTACTGCCTGGGTTAACAAATTACCCACATGAAAAAAATACTATGGTATACTATGGTCTACATAGTGTAGTATTACTATATTTATATAGTATTCACTGTAGTGTTTTTGCAGTTACCTTATAGGCCTATGTCATTAACGTATAGCCTACTTGTTGGATGGATTTGTTGCGCATTGGTGTCTAGCTGTGGGTTCCTTTTCTAGTGATATTGTCGACCCAGTGTTGTGTTCGAGACCACCTAAAGTGAGACCGATTCAAGACTGAGACCAGTAAAATGCGAGTCCAATTCAAGACCATGATTGTAATTTTGTCAAATCACCACCATAATAAGAGTTCAAAATGTACAACCAAATAATTGCAGCATTACCGTAAAAATGGAAGAGGAAAGTGGAAGGAGGAAAAAGTAAGGAACTTGTCTATCGGCCTTGCATTAGAGAACATAATTGGTTAAAGAAAATTGTGATAAATAAAAAAGTTGACCAGTTTCATTTAAGGACCAAAAGTTTGACAGCCGTCCCATATAGATTGCAAAATAGTTGGGAAGAGATTTTTGACGTACCGATTGCATGGCATAGTGTTTATGAACTGATACACAAAACGACGCCGGATTCAAAACATATCATTTTTCAATTTAAATTATTATATAAAATTCTTGCAACCAATAGAATGTTATTTGTATGGGGGATACAATCTTCCCAGCTCTGCTGATTTGGCTGTGAAGAGACAGAATTATTAGATCATTTGTTTTGGTACTGTCCATTTGTAGCTTGTTTCTGGACACAGGTCCAGGAATGGCTGAAGGATTGCAATATTTGCATGGAGCTGACCCTGCAGATAGCACTACTGGGTGATCTGAAAAGTCATAGTCAATCGATCAATAATATAATAATACTTTTAGCAAAAATGTTTATTTTCAATTCACAAACTGTAGAAACAATGAGAATAGAAAGGTTCAGAACTTTTGTAAAACATCACAGTACAGTTGAAAAATATATGGCAAATAGAAATCCAATATGGATGGTGTTAAGAGATAGATGGGAGGTGTTGAATGGAGCTGAAGGATGGGACTAATAACAACAACTAATAACAACAAGATAACTAGTGTAAGACATGCTGTGTCCATAATAAGTATATAGGTTATATATTGTGAGCTTTTGTGAAAGAGCACAGTTAGAAAGATATGGCATATAGAAGCATACCAGATGGACATCATGAAAATGATCGGAGGAAGTTCAGGAGTAAAAACAAACAAAATATATTTATTGACTGTGTCCATAAAATGTATATAGTATGTATAAGCATGAAGTAGAGGCCTAAGCATTGTTGTTTACTAGTTTACTCCAATTAGGGAAGGGATGGTGGGGTTGGAAAGTAATAAAGGGAAATATATTTTTAAAGGATATGTATGTATATAAATGTATGTATATGCGTATATGTATGTATATATATATATATATATATATATATATATATATATATATATATGTGCGAGAGAAAAAAAAAAGAGTTCAAAATGTCCAGTATTTCTGTGTTAATATTTCAGAACAACATATGGATTCTTTAGACATTCAGAATAGTGAAGAAATGCATGCTGATGGAAAATAGAGCAACTCTACCTTCAGAGAAGGGCTAAGGATTAATAAAATAATGATTATTATATTGTTATTCTCAATGATGTTCCGATTTAATATTTGCAGTTTTTGTTGGAAAGGAAAGGGTTAACACTTACCCCCCCCACCCCCCCACTGGCTATCATTAGTTGAATGCACCAATTTGTAAGTCGCTCTGGATAAGAGTGTCTGCTAAATGATGTAAATGTAAATGTCAAAGAGAAAAAAAAATCCAATCAGGATTTTTCTTTGCTGGTCTCTGGGGGATACATCTAGCTAGCTAAGTCAGCCATTGGCTAGGCCATCAGAAGCTAGACAAAGGCATCTACCATTCAACTGTATTAGGGAAACATTTTGTAGTGACAGTGGAATCAACCAATCAAATGTTAACTTAATGTCAGTTTTTACAAAAACGTATGGCAACTTCTGCCTTCTTGAAGGCCAACAAGTCACTGCAATAGTGAGCAGTAGTTTTCCCATGGTCTAGCTAGCTAGCTTTTGTTGTCTGCTAATTTGCAGAGGCTGCAGCAGGTGTTATCAAAGAGAATGTTGTTGCTAATTTGTTAGCTTCTCCCTTTTGAAAAATAACTTTCAAAAAGAAGTTAAGTTTCAAATGATCATCATCTGGTGAGTGGAACTGTGTTTTTTATTGCAGCTGCTTTGCTGTTGGTAGCCATCTCTTTGAAAATAACTTACAATTGAAGTCGGAAGTTTATATACACCTTAGCCAAATACATTTAAACTCAGTTTTTCACAATTCCTGACATTTAATCCTAGTAAAAAGTATCTGTCTTAGGTCAGTTAGGATCACCACTTTATTTTAAGAATGTGAAATGTCAGAATAATAGTAGAGAGTATGATTTATTTCAGCTTTTATTTCTTTCATCACATTCCCAGTGGGTCAGAAGTTTGCATACACTTAATTAGTATTTGATAGCATTGCCTTTAAATTGTTTAACTTAGGTCAAACGTTTCGGGTAGCCTTCCACAAGCTTCCTACAATAAGTTGGGTGAATGTTGGCCCATTCCTCCTGACAGAGCTGGTGTAACTGAGTCAAGTTTGTAGGCCTCCTTGCTCGCACACGCTTTTTCAGGTCTGTCCACACATTTTCTATAGGATTGAGGTCAGGGCTTTGTGATGGCCACTCCAATACCTTGACTTTGTTGTCCTTAAGCCATTTTGCCACAACTTTGGAAGTATGCTTGGGGTCATTGTCCATTTGGAAGATCCATTTGCGACCAAGCTTTAACTTCCTGACAGATGTCTTGCTTCAATATATCCACATAATTTTCCTTCCTCATGATGCCATGTATTTTGTGAAGTGCACCAGTCCCTCCTGCAGCAAAGCACCCCCACAGCATGATGCTGCCACCCCCGTGCTTCTCGGTTGGGATGGTGTTCTTAGGCTTGCAAGCCACCCCCTTTTTCCTCCAAACATAACAATGGTCATTATGGCCAAACAGTTCTATTTTTGTTTCATCAGACCAGAGGACATTTCTCCAAAAAGTCCGATCTTTGTCCCCATGTGCAGTTGCAAACCGTAGTCTGGCTTTTTTATGGCGGTTTTGGAGCAGTGGCTTCTTCCTTGCTGAGCGGCCTTTCAGGTTATGTCGATATAGGACTTGTTTTACTGTGGCTATAGATACTTTTGTACCGGTTTCTTCCAGCATCTTCACAAGGTCCTTTGCTGTTGTTCTTGGATTGATTTGCATTGATTTGTTCATCTCTAGGAGACAGAATGCATCTCCTTCTTGAGCGGTATGACGGCTGCGTGGTCCCATGGTGTTTATACTTGCGTACTATTGTTTGTACAGATGAACGTGGTACCTTCAGGCGTTTGGAAATTGCTCCCAAGGATGAACCAGACTTGTGGAGGTCTACCATTTTTTTTTCTGAGGTCTTGGCAGATTTCTTTTGATTTTCCCATGATATCAAGCAAAGAGGCACTGTTTGAAGGTAGGCCTTGAAATACATCCACAGGTACACCTCCAATTGACTCAAATGATGTCAATTAGTCTATCAAAAGCTTCTAAAGCCATGACATCATTTTCTGGAATTTTCCAAGCTGTTTAAAGGCACAGTCAACTTAGTGCATGTAAACTTCTGACCCACTGGAATTGTGATACAGTGAATTATAAGTGAAATAATATATATGTAAACAATTGTTGGAAAAATGACTTGTTACATGCACAAAGTAGATGTCCTAACCAACTTTCCAAAACGATAGTTTGTTAACAAGAAATGTGTGGAGTGGTTGAAAAACAAGTTTTAATGACTCCAACCTAAGTGTATGTAAACTTCCGACTTAAATAATTAAAATAAATAATTGGAATTTATTGTATGTGTGTGAAACATTGTTGCATTTAACTTGGAACTGACAGCATTTTAGCAACATTAAATCTTATTAAAATCTGTTCATATACACACCCAGGAAGACAAGCGACCACTTAGATATGGTCATTTTCAAGTTTTCATAAATTCTGAGAATGTTTGGGAATTACGTATACTAAGGCATTTGTGAAAATTCTATAGCAATATAGAGTAGGAAATCGGCCGTGCGTTTGGACAATTAATAGACACTGCTGTGAATAAAAACATCTGTCTTGTCCAGGAACAGAGTCTACACAGACTGGTGCGCTATAGCCAATCAGAGCTACAGTAGACCTTTATAAAAACAAGCAATTCACCTACCATCATTCACTTTGAACTGGACTGTGTGTTTACAGGCAGTTGCAACAGCGCGACTTTAGATTATTAGAATGCATTCGGGAGTCCTCTTACATTTGGTAACTTTACAGTCCTATTGATCAAACAACCATGAAAAGGTAGGCTTTCTCTCCCTCAGTTATGCACATCAACAACAACAACATCAACAACTAATGCTAGCCAGAGCAAGATGAGCTAAAATCTAATGAAGGAACATTAGATAAACCCTCTCAAACTTTTTCAGCTAGTTGGCCGTCAAAATTGCACTGATAAACGATGGGGAATTGTAGCCTCCTGGTCCTTCTGCAGCTTGTCCCAACCAAGCACCCACGCTAACTGGCTAAAGTTGGCTAGCTTGCTAGCTAGCTACTTCCAGACACAAATGAGAGAACACCTCACTCTGACCATTTTACTCGCCATAGCAGAGCTGGTTAGGCTGTTTACATGTTATCTACAGCGTTCTTGACTAACTATTACTTTTTTTGCCTACGTTTACTGACACTGGTCATATTCAGCAGTTGTTGCACGTTCGTAAATTCATCAGTTGCTCTGCTCTCTGGCAGATTCAGACGAAAGTGCTCCAGAGTGAATTTGCAAACGCAAGAGATATGCTAACTCTGTAAAAGTCGTTCAAGTTCTTGCTAGCTTACCAAATGACACCTGCATCTCTAGCTGTGTATAGCCAACGAAAAACAATATGATATGAGGGGAAAAAGTCAGTCACTCACCCACTCCTCCAATGGCATGACATGACATCCTCCTAGCAGCTAGCTATCTAGCTAACGTTCGGCTCCATATTTTTAGCTTGCTAAATAAATAGATACGCTTGCCTATTAGCCACGTTATGACTGACTTGTGATCATTGCCATTGCTAGTTTGATTGTATTGACATTCCCAGCCTTAGTTACATTCGTCCGTTTTTGTCCAGATTATTGAGTCATTGAAACTGAAACAGTGCATTCCGAATGGAGGCAGCAAACAATGGACCAGGCCAGCTGTGATTTACAACCTGATAGCAATATTTTTTTGACTACCAAGAAATGTATTGGTGAATTATATTAATCATGCATTGAACAGCATCCATCTATTCTGCCAACAATGCCTTAGTGTACAATATAACCTATTTTTAAAACCTCTTATAAAGTTGGTTTTGTAGCATAAACTGGGAATTTGATATTTTTTACTGATATTATGATTGTCTGTTTGTTTCATATTGCAAAGTAGTTAAAACGCTGTCAGTTCCACTTTAAACTTTAGGTCACTGGTTACTTTGTGTGCTAAATATGAAATGCTTTTTGCAATGGGAAGTAATAGCTGTACATTTCGATTGGGAAATGCTTAATGGTTGTGTTTTTGTATTCTTATGATTGGGACCTACTGGCTTATTATGTCAGAGTTTATGGACTGCTTATCCTTTAACATAATGCTGTGTGTGACTGCTGTCTTTCCATTGGCCCTATACAGTGGTGCAGTGGTGCCTGGAGAAGTGGGTATACTCTAATTTGGCCAAAAAGTCCCAAACGGCCCGCCCAGCGAAGGAAAGGCACCCTGTGTGAAAATTCCTATGTTTTGCTATGATTTTTTATTAGTTTTCCTATAGATTTGTCTGATTTTCACTCTCAAAATCACGCTTTTTAATATAAAAAAAATATAATATATTGATGGTCTAAGTCCACAACAATGCTTAAACCACATCAATCTGATTGGGTGGGCCTGTCAAGGCCTGGCTCCCCAGTGGGTGGGCCTCTGTCCACCCCATCCATGTCTACGTCCCTCATGCAAACAGCCATCATGCACATCACAAATAGCCTACCTGGTTAGCATACCCATTTCTGGTAGATATCATAAGTTGAAACGTCTTTCCTACCCTACCGGCTACCGATGTCATTCTTCTGTGTGCTGCTCCATGCCAAAACAAGTTGAGAGCTGCACACTTGCTGCCTGCAGATGATATTCCGTTGAAACTAGGCTATGTGTGCGGCGCGCATGTGAACATTTTTCACGTGCTTTGCGATTGTGTAGCCTACTTTGTGCATGATTTCTCTATTGTGCTACATCATTGATCAATCGTATACCTCCACTACACTACTTTGATACGCATCAGTAGGGATTAAGAAGTGAGTATAAGCAATGCCCACTGAAAAAAAGTGGGTATAAGGTTTATACCTGCGTATACCCTCCACTACACCACTGGCTCTTTGTGATTTACAAAAAGTGCGCTCTCCTACATGAGTGCGCTGGTATTACGGTTGCTGTCACACACTGATGGCCTATAGGTACTCCATTGCGCAAACATGTCTATTATATATATAAAGTGTTAAGTTGCGTCAATTCAAATCTGGTATAGGAACAAAAAGAGGTCAATACACGTCTTCTAAAATAGACTAGTATTTTAATTAATGCAAAGACTTGAATGGTAAGTATGATGTTCGTATATACGGGCCCACTGAAAAACCACGCAGGGCAGTCAGAGAACTGAGCCATTGTTATAAGTTCTTCTTTAAATACTCTGACAGAGATAGTTCCTGCTCCAAGCAGGCCTATCAGAGTAGAGGCTGGGCGTGGTTTAAACTTACCCAGCCTATCGTCAATGCACGGGCTGGTCCCATCCCCTTGGCGCTTCACTGTTGCCAGGCATTAGTTGTTATCTCCACAACTTGTCTCGAGTCAACAACCTCAGACATTTTTGTAGCAGAACACATGTCCTTGAGCGGTTTAACAAAGAGGCAGTGTGTGTGTATGTGAGACACAAGTCTTATCTCATCCTACCCCCCTAACAGTTCCCCACATTAATCACAGCTTGTTATATTAAACAATCTATATCAGTACAGTACAAACCTATTATGTTTAATCATTAATGTATTCTTTCTAAGCTAGGCATCACATCTAGTTATAAGAAAATAGACCCCCACAATCCCCCTTTTCACACCCGCTGGGTGTGAACCCAAAATAAGAAATTTCAGGGAAATGTAGGATTCCCCCTTTTGACACCCACTAGGGTGTCACTCATTAAAATACAATACAAACAAAAAGAATCACACTTTTATTAATAGGCAATAATGATAATAAAAAATAAAAACCCTCAGTCCTTCCATCTACACCTAACTTGTACTAGGTTGGCTACCAGCCACCCAGGAACTTTAAACCTTCACATAAGGAAAGACAAAAATTCACAATGGTTAACTTGATTAATAAAGCATAAAACATAAACAGGGAAGTAAACGTTGACCCCCTTTAGACACCCTCTAGGGTGTCACTCCACCACCTCACCAATAGCAAACCAAGGGTCATCCTTTGTCAACCCCATCTCAGTGTCTGCATCCCCTTCTTGAGCCCCTAGGAGGGGCATCATACCAGCCGCATGCACGACATCTGTAACAGACTTTCTCAGACAAGGAATTACACAGGCAGCACAGCACATTAATATTAGAAACACAACTACTAGGGTCAGAAATCCAGTAACCACCAATGATGCGAACTTACCAAACCACTCCCCCAACCAGGAGAACAGTCCGTTTCCCTCCATTCCAGCCATGCTCTTCATTTCAGCTGACAGTTTATCTAAACCAACTAGGGCTTTAGAGATACTCCCATCAGGACTGGTATTGTTAGGGATAAACGTACAACAATGGCTTACCATTCTATAGACACCACCCCTTTCTGCCTGATCTAGAGCCAACCTCTTTTTACTAAGTCATAAGAGTGAGATGGCGGATAATTGTTCAAAAGATCCCTTCTGTTGCATCCCTAGTCCAGCCAATAAATCGTTGTTGGTCGTAATAGATATAATTAATCCAATTCACAATTTTGTTTATTGTCACCCACCAAAAGAACGTGGTAGTAAACCCTTCCCCTAATTGTTTCATAGCTCGGTATCCATCCGATACCCCCCTTGGTATCCCAATCGCATCCATCTAAATAGGGCTATTCTCCTTCTTGTTAAAACTCCTACATCTGTTTAATCCTTGGTTCCTGGTAACTAATTCTAACTAGCTGAACCAGTAGAACCAGGGCGCATGTATCTAGCCACCCCTTTGGAATTCTCTGCCTACACTGCCCTTACTGGCACACGCCCACCACATATCGGTTACAGGGGCTGTAAGGTTTAGAATTCTCTCCTGTGCTTCCGAACTTAAGTCTGTCACATTACTACTATCTCCAATTGATAATTGGTGATGTCTTTATTTCTCTTTACCCCCCTTCTGGATGTTCAGTCCCACCTGGTCTCATATCCCCATCCCCAAGTGTGTTTAAACACTTGAGTCTAGGAACAATCCGCCGTGGGGGCCGAACACGAATATAATGGGATTTTATAATCCCAATTTTCTTATTGACATGTACCCCACCCGTTGGCTACGTCCCTAACCCTTATTTTGAATCTGACAGTCTGCCCTTCTCTGACTCCCATTTTGTAGGCCACTCGTCCTTGACGGTCAGTTTGTCGGGTCGCTTCTCTTCTCTTTTACTTCTTAACAATGGTAAGGGCATAGCGCAACTGGTGGTGGATCTTGACATATCAAGACCATTACCGAGACTATGGTGCAACTCAAGTTATCCATATTCCCAAAAACCGCCAACCCTCTCCTGTCCTCAGTCTTTCTGCTTGGTACTACCCCATACTCACACCCTGAGAACACACTACAGTGATGATAGGTCGGGGTAGGAGATCTTCGTTAACAGAGGTGATCCCCAGACCCTATTGGTCTAGTTCTTCTCTCTAACTCTGCATGTGTTCAGTGGTGCTTGCATGTGTTCTTACCTTTTTGCAGTGAGGTAACGTGGACCCAGGTTGCTCTTTCTGCTATTCTAATGGCAAAGACAGTGACCAATATAACCTGATAGGGCCCTTCCCAACAGGCCTGCTTCCAGTTTTTCTTCTTTAGGGACTGGATGCTCACCAGTCACCTTCTCCTTTAGTTCACCTGTGGGGCACAAAACCTCTGACATACGGGTGTGGTTAATAAACTATCTTCACACATGTTCAGCTCTCAATTTCTATTTCTGACTGCATTCTCTTTCTAGACTGTATCTAAAAAAAATTTTTAAAAGTATTTTGTCCTCTCCTTCGTATATATTTATTATTTAATCCTACCATCCCCCTTTTGACACATGTTTTGCTCATGTGTCAATATTACCACCTACCTAAACAATCACTTAGGTAATATTGGTAATTTATCATCCAATTGCCATCCCTTATTTTTAAATACTGCCTAATTTTAACATACTAGGTGTGTTGTTTTTTATTTGAAAAACCCAATTTGAAAAACAACAACCACAAATAGCCAGGCCCCACTTGATTTGGTAGCTCACTGCCTAACTTCACTACTGCTCCCCCTCGCCCTGGGCAACATTCCAATGAGATAAGCTAATCTCTTTCTCCTGGTTATACATTTTGTTAACCTTCAATTACCATCAGTAATCTAAAGATGGTAGTACACACAAAACATGATACAGATATCCCCAGTCCTAACCCATCAATAATTGTTTGTATCAATCTAATTCCTCATAACTAATCCATAAAACCACTCAAAATTCCTCGAGTATAAAATGATTATTTAATTGATTACCCTAAATCTGCTACATGTGATCTCATCTCAAATGATCCATTATCAATTATTTGATCAACCCCCTAGGAAAATCTGTCTCCCCTTCTATTGTTCCTGTCCCCCCTGTAAATGTCATATTTCCTTTTTTAGCCAATACAATCACGGTTACATCAAATGTTCCCTCCTTTGGCCATTTAGTTACTATCTTTCTGGTCCTTTTTCTCATTTGTTAGAGATATTACCAATATCTTCACTATTTTCTGGGAACCTTCTCTTCATGATTGCTACTGGTGATCCTGCCATCTCTACTTCTGGTGTGGTCTAATGTCTATATTAGGGTGTAAGGTAAATTATTCCTGTTGTCTTTTTCAGCTAAATGTTTTATATCCCTCAGTTAATGGTATTTTCTCCCTAATATATCTTCATACTCTCCTTCTTTCCCTAAATGAGATTTAATCCCTTGCCTTTCCTCTACTATCCTTCTATCACTACTGGATCAATGATAATAACTGCAATAACTATTTCACATTAAATTGTGCCTTTTTCTGATAATGTTATAATTTTAGCCTATTGCATTACTTTAGTTTAAAATATAAGTTTGTTTATTTAACAAATCTAGAACCCACTATAGGTTGGTGCTATTCCCTCAGCATAATAGCTAAAGCTACTTGCATCCCCTGGTCCCCGTAACGAAAATAAATTATAGTTCTAGAATTCACCAACTATTTGCATACACCACTGGTGTTAAGCAACCTATCGAATAAAGTAATAACAATTAGAATTTATCAAAGCACTGCCTTCCAGTCAAGTATTTAGACCTCTACTTGAAATCTTACAGCTCAATCTAACTCGCTTGACTGTCTCAATTTTTTTTTCCGCTAACCAGAGCCATAAATTATTCTCCTTTGTCCTCAACTAAATTTTCACTGCTCTATCGCCATTTCAGTTCGCTATTCAATTTCTTTAACTGTTCTCTCTGATTAGGCCCTAATTAATAAAACAAATACTTGCTATCGTTGATAAGCATACATTTAATTATATTCCTATCATTTGAACTATCTCTCACCCCTCCCCTTGCTCCTTCCTACACAACGGGGGAGGCGTGGGACCTTGTAACATATTTTCATAGACCTTTCTAGAATACTTCTACTTAAGCTATCTAATTCAACCTTTCACATTTCTCAATCCACGTAGTAATCTAGGTCTATAGCCCCAATGCGAAAGCTTTACCCACTGTCCCTACCTGGGTTCGAACCCGGGACCCTCTACATACATTGCCAGTCACCCCACACATTCCGCGATGCTTTCAAAGTAAATACTTCCAGTTCATAGAGCAAGTGACGTCACCAAATGAAAACCGCACTAGCTCTCACCTCATTCAGCAACACAAAAACTCTCTCTCCCTTCACCCATTCCCTATTGAATAAGTGAGTCTTTCTATTTAACTCCAACCACGCTACAAATCTTCCATACAACATCAACAAACCAAATACTCAGTAGTATCCGGTCACCACCCATACCAGCCGCCGAATTCACTCATACACACAGACCCCACCCCATGCCACCGAAATGCCCAACAAAACATAATAGTTCAATGGAACCCCCTATTGGCTCTCCACTATTCATACATTACTTCCAAAACCACACCAGTCATGGTCCGATCACCCATCAAACCCCATCACATGATTGCTTCAACATAATTATTTAAAACCAGTATTATGCTATGTCAAACATCAAACGTTACAGTTCAATTATATCAGTTCAAACGTTTCAGTTTAGTCATACTAGTTATTCATTATTTTACCTTTATGTTCCCAATTATTATTAACAGGTTATACGGTTTAAGCAGCTACAGACTTCTTTAACTCCTAATTAGTTTTCTATCAAGGTATACAGGTTTATTAATTTTAATAACCCGCATTCACTCTTTTATTACACTGGGATCATTCGCACTCTCATGCATACAACTCCCTATACTCTAAAGTGTCCCTATGATCCTAGCCGTATCTAGCCCTCTGATACGTGTCAGTAGTGCAACACCTTTAACCAATAATTCCCTACGCCTCCAGTTCTCACCACTGGTGATCCTAGCCTGGAGTTGACTAAAATGTAAGTGTCCCTATGATCCTAGCCGTATCTAGCCTTCTGATACGTGTCAATAGCGTAACACCTTTAACCAATAATTCCCTATATCCTCAGTTCTCACTCCCGGTGATCCTAGCCTGGGGATTTCAGTATTTTTCCCCGATCCTAGCCGTACCTAGCCCTCTGGTACGTGCCGGTGGAACAATACTCTATCTAAAATGTTAAGTGTCCCTCTGATCCTAGCCGTACCTAGCCCTCTGGTACGTGTCGGTGGAACAATACTCTATGGTACCAAGGTTTAACATCACATTCACCACAGGTTTGCATGTCACAATATGGTGCTTATCTACTCATAATAATTCGTATAATAATTCATAATTTAGTTCACTTACATCAGACAGGTGTTTCACAAAATTAATTTGGATAAAGCCAATGTGCAGAACTTTAGTTATATAACAATAGGTGTCTGCTTACCTGTTTTTAGTAGTCCGGACTCTTTGTGAAACACACCGTCCAACGACAGCGATGTCCAATCGGCCGGACAATACCCAGCGAAGTCCCTCTACCAGATCACGTCGGCGGTCACCAATTGTTAAGTTGCGTCAATTCAAATCTGGTATAGGAACAAAAAGAGGTCAATACACGTCTTCTAAAATAGACTAGTATTTTAATTAATGCAAACACTTGAATGGTAAGTATGATGTTCGTATATACGGGCCCACTGAAAAACCACGCAAGGCAGTCAGAGAACTGAGCCATTGTTATAAGTTCTTCTTTAAATACTCTGACAGAGATAGTTCCTGCTCCAAGCAGGCCTATCAGAGTAAAGGCTGGGCGTGGTTTAAACTTACCCAGCCTATCGTTAACGCACAGGCTGGTCCCAGCCCCTTGGCGCTTCACTGTTGCCAGGCATTAGTTGTTATCTCCACAACTTGTCTCGAGTCAGCAACCTTAGACATCTTTGTAGCAGAACACATGTCCTTGAGCGGTTTAACAAAGAGGCAGTGTGTGTGTATGTGAGACACAAGTCTTATCTCATCCTACCCCCCTAACAGTTACCCACATTAATCACAGCTTGTTATATTAAACAATCTATATCAGTACAGTACAAACCTATTATGTATAATCATTAATGTATTCTTTCTAAGCTAGGCATCACATCTAGTTATAAGAAAATAGATCCCCACAAAAGGCTGTTAAGATATTAATGTTTCAAGAAAGGAGTGTATATATTTGGCCTGGTGAAGCGGTTTTATGCGCTGACTGAATGGAAGCTGATAATTATGAGTTTTTTACTCCGCTGGTCTCGGGAAGAAATTACGAGTCCTCACCTTTCGAGACCGAGTCAAGACCGAGGACAAATGTATCCAACACCGAGACAAAGACCGAGACACTCAATATGTGGTCTCGATCAAGGGATACTACAGTGTGTAGTATAGTAGTCTCCAGTATACAACAAAATTATATAGTAAGTACCCTTCAACGATCGAGGGGATACTACAATGTGTAGTGTAGGATTCTCCAGTATACTACACAATTCTAAAGTAAGTCTTGCATAATCGAGTGATACAACAGTGTCTAGTATAGTATTCTACAGTATACTACAAAATTCTAAAGTAAGTACTACACATGATCAAGGGATATTACAGTGTGTAGTATAGTATTATAAAGTATACTACAAATGTCTATAGTAAGCACTGCATGATATAGGGATACTACAGTGTGGAGTATAGGATTCTACAGTATACTACAGTTTACTACAGAATTCTATAGAATTCTATAGCAAGTACTATAGTATTCTATAGTAAGCGTTAGTATTTTTTAAATGGGTACTCCCCAATCCTTTTGTGTTTTAAGATCTAGCTAAAGCAAAGTTAAAGGTAGCTCTGCAAAAAAGACAATGGCCTATCTACTGGTGATTTAACCATAATTAGAACCAGGAGTTTTCCCTGACCACTTGACCTAAACCAGGAAAAACTGTAACTAGGCACTAAGTTTCTCTTGGTCAGGTCAAATGGTAAGGACAAACTCCTGGCCCTACATATAATGTCATATCCCTCTCTCTAGGAGCGGTGCTTCCAGTAGGCGGCCTCCTCCTGGGTGAGTCCTTCATCGAGCCCCTGAGCAGCATGCTGGTCCGGGTGGGTGGCGGTAGCATCCGGGCTGGGAAGCTGGTGCCTCATGCCGGGGGGTTCCAGGCTCTACTGGACAGCCAGACTTTGGTTGCCCGTATCCGCCTGGTGGAGCTTCTGCGTGGGCTCAGAGAGGACTGGGGCTCTGGGGAGATGGGTTTGCAGGGTTTGCAGGCCCAGAGGAAGGAGACTGAGCTGGGACGGATCCAGGCTGCAGCCAAGGAGTTGGAGCAGGCCTGGGGGAAAGGGCTACACTGTCACCTGCAGCTGCTGAGCCGGCTGGAGACCCTCCTGGACTGGGCCTGGGGCGTTGCCCAAGATGGTGGCGTCCAAGGTAGGTTGTTTTCACAACTGCTTGTGTACTTTGCCAATTATTTTCGGCCAGGATTCAATCAGATCAACCTTAACCTGCGGTAACCAACAAATGCATAGCTTATAATTGCTTTTGTTTAGGTGTGTCGGAGGTGTAAATCCACTGAAACGATCAAATCCACAAGCGGCACCCAGCATTATACCTATCGTGGACATTGCCATCACATTAGTAGAAATCCCATGCAGTTTGAACACTGGGATTTGTGATGTCATCTACACCTCGTTTAGGCAGATATAAATCCTTATTATTTTGTTGAATGATTTTCAATTTGAGTGTCATTATTTTCTGAACTTCTCACGCGGGTGGGATATATTCTGAACTTCTCACGCGGGTGGGATATATTCTGAACTTCTCACGCGGGTGGGATATAAGGAGTCGGGATGGTTTTGTGACAATGACCGCAAGATTAGCCGCTGACGGATTTGACAGCTCCAACACAGTTACACCTCCAACACCGCCTTGACAAGAGCAATGATAAGCTATGCGTTTATCGGTTACCACGGGTTAACAATGATCTGATTGAATCCTTACTCCCAATCCAGCAGTTTAGAAATAGAGAGAATGGAAGGCCAAGTTTAGGCCGGGTGTAGGCAGTGGCGGATGAAATGGCTGAAAAAATCAGTTTTGTCCGTCAAAAGGTTAATCTGTCTTCATGGCCGCCCCTTATACCAACTGCTTTCGGGGTTAAAAGGGTTAAGAGGTATGGGACATGACACTCTGTATCCTACTACATTAGGAGAAATCCATCTCCCTGGTTCTGATCTGTCCCTGCCGGCGCTGCCTGGGATGGAATATCCTGATCCACAGGGCTCTGGCCTAACGGTCCCCATCCTGGGGGCTCAGATGGACCCCGTGTCAGGACTCACTGTCCCCCTGGCTGGAACCATGGAGGACCCAGATGGCAAAGGTGATTGGTTGATTGATGGATGGATGGATGGACTGACTGATTTCCTGATACGGAAGTATATTTAATGTTTTTGATGTATTTGATTGCCATACATTTATAGTACAGTGGGCTCCATAATTACTGGCACCCCTGACTAGCAATGCACAAACAAACAATACAAATATAAACAATATAATTATAGAGATAAACTCAAAATACCAACATGTGAGAAATACGGTACTTTATTAATGTTTCAATGGAACCAACCAAAATCATACAATTATTTAATACAAAATAAATGTCACAAAAATCAAAATACCAACATGTGAGAAATACTGTACTTTATTAATGTTTCAATGGAACCAACCAAAATCATACAATTATTTAATACAAAATCAAGGTTTCATAATTATTGGCACTCCTCATTTAGTACTTAGTGCAACCACCTCTGGCAAGGATAACAGCATGGAGTCTTTTCCTGTAATGTTTGACAAGGTTAAGGAATACATTTGGAGGGATTTTGGACCATTCCTCTATGCAGGTCCTTTCAAGATCCTTCACATTCCTGGGTTTGCACTTATCAACTGCCCTCTTCAACTCAGCCCACAGATTTTCGATTGGATTGAGGTCCGGCGACTGAGATGGCCATGGCAGAACATTGATTTTGTTGTCACAGAACCATTTCTGTGTGGATCTTGAGGTATGTTTTGGGTCATTGTCTTGTTGGAAAGTCCACCTACGGCCAAGTCCCAGCCTTCTGGCAGAGGCAACCAGATTGTCAGCCAAAATTGCCTGATACTTGGTGGAATTCATCATGCCATCAATCTTAACCAGTGCCCCTGGACCTCTGGCATTAACACAGCCCCAAAACATCACTGACCCACCACCATATTTCACCGTGGGTATGAGGTGCCTCTCCTTGTATGCATCTCTGTTTCGACGCCAAACATGCCGATGCTGTATCTGACCAAAACGTTCAATTTTGGTCTCATCTGACCAGAGCACCTTCTTCCAGTCATAATTTTAATGACCTTTCACAAACTCCAAGCGCTTGCGTCTGTGTCTTGGGGTCAGAAAGGGCTTTCTTCTGAAAACCCTTCCAAAGAGCCTGTGGCTGGGGAGGTGGCGTCTGATGGTGCTTTTTGAAACCTGGTGACCCCAAGACGCCACCAAGGCCTGCAATTCTTTCACAGTGATTCTTGGGGATTTTGTTGCTTCTCTCACCATCCTCCTCCCTATCCTGGGGGGCAAAATGCATTTGTGTCCTCTACCCGTGAGGTTTTCAACTGTTCCATATCTTTTAAATTTTTTAATAATAGCCCTGACTGTGCTCAGTAGTATATTCAAATCGTTTGTGGATCTTCTTGTAGCCATTATCAGATTTATGAAGGTCTACGACCATCTGTCTCTTTTGAACTGCCAGTTATTTCGTTTTATTCATGGTGTTGGATGACAAAGGGATATTGCATGCATGTTACCTCATTTTTAGATCCTAGTGAAACAGGAAATGATGTAATGGCTCAATATAGTTCCTTAAGACTTAGATAAACTTAAATAAGTGGAATTTAATTCCTGGTTTAATTTTGGTAGATGTTATTTTCAATCATCTTTAAGGGTGCCATTCATTGTGCAACCTTGATTTGGAGGACATTGATTTTTAATTAAATCAATAAATGATTTTGGTGGGATCCATTGGAACATTAATATAGTACAGTATTCCTCACATGTTGGTATTTTCAGTTTTTCTCTATAATTATATATTTTTTACATTTTTCTAAGTATTGTTTGTGCATTGCCAGTCAGGGGTGTCAGTAATTTTGGAGCCCACTGTATATCAGTATTTCTGTGCTACTGTATGTTGTTCGACAGGACTGGTTGCGATTCGTTTCGGGGCCCTGACAGTGGACCCTGTAACAGGGGTATTGGCTCCTGTTGTGGGGGTTCGCCTGGATGTGCCCAGACAGACTGCTGTGCCTGTTACTGCTTCATACTGCCTGGCTCTGGGAGATAATACCGACAGTGTGCTGGTAAGGAAGATAAATTACACTGGCTACTTTTCTTTTCAACACGTTTAACATGTTGCCAAAATGACAGGTTAAGCACACAAGGTGGCTCCAACATGTTGCGTTTTGATTGTTTTTCAGTCCCTTCTTCAAACAGCGAACATAATCAACACATAGTGATTGAGTTCCATAGTATAAATCACGCGGGTCTCTTTTTGACTTGTTGTGCATGCCAGCTGGAGGCCCTGCAGGAGGAGCGGTGTCTGAGGAACAGGTACTGGAAGCAGGAGAAACAGAAGGAGGAGGAGCTTCTAGCGGATCTGGATGCAGCTCTGCAGCACTGTATCCTTGTGGCCACTCAGGAGGACTCTGAGCAGGTAAACTGAACTAGGCTGGGATGGATGGGGCTGCTCAGTCCTCAACAAACAGGAAAGGATTTCTCTTATGCTGAATTGTTTGAATGCATACATATCATTTTGGTTTATGTTAATCTCCCTAGTGGCGTTACTGTATAATGGAGATCCTTATCCATTCTTTGTTTGTTTGTGTGTGTGTGTTAATGTTTGTGTGTGTGTGTGTGTGGACATGCCTGTGTGAGTGTGAGTGTGTGTGTGTGTGTGTGTGTGTGCACTGTAGGCCCACTGGGTGGACACCGAGAGGCAGCTGAGGGAGGCTGCAGCGGAGCTTCAGGAGTCTGGCCAGTCAGAAGCCCAGAGGAGAGCGTCCCAGCTCTCAGACCTGTCTCTACTCCTGCCTCCTCACGTTCTGCTCATCCTCACTCAAGGTATAGCAAGTCTGGCATAACTTCAGTTAATCGTTAGAGAGTGGATTTGGATATGCTTATCCATAGCTCAAAGTTACATTGTAATATACTTTTGATTGCATATTAGGCTACCTTGTGATGTGTGTGTGTGTTCACACGTGTCCGTGTGTCTTTTTTTTCTCCAAATATATATTTTATGGATTTTCACTTTATTTAGAATAAGGAATTCAGAGGGGGAGAGTAACAGTGGAAAAAGTGGTGGCTGGGATTGAGCCCCGGTCTCCGGTAGGGAAATGTGGCTTATGCTGTGTTACCAGTACACCACTCTGCACGTGTCTGTGTCTGTCTTACTGTGTTTAGGTGATGATAAGGAGTGGGAGCAGCAGTGCTGCTGGCAGACAGAGCTGGTGGCTGGCCTGGACAGGGTGAACGTGTGTGTGGAGAAACTGCAGCAGGACCATGAGAGATGGACAGCACAGAGGGGAGAGCAGACGGCATCAATCCATGTCATGGTCAGATCTAGCATAGTTCAATCCGATTACGCAGACATGTAGATTAAGTAAACATTAAAATATATTTCGTTTTTCTAGTGAACAAGCTTTTTAGTCTAGGACTAGGCTTAATCTTTATCCGGGAAACCGTCCCCTACAATCCATCTTCACGGTAAAGGGATAAACATTCTAGGGCCGGTTTCCCGGACAAAGATTAAGCCTAGTCCTAGACTAAAAAGCTTGTTCACTAGAAAAACGAAATATATTTTTTTCCCTATTCTTAATCTGTGTCATGGAAACCGGCCCTAGAATGTTTATCCCTTTACCGTGAAGATGGATTGTAGGGGACGGTTTCCCGGACAAAGATTAAGCCTAGTCCTAGACTAAAAAGCTTGTTCACTAGAAAAACGAAATATATTTTTTCCCCTATTCTTAATCTGTGTCATGCAACCGGCCCTAGAATGTTTATCCCTTTACCGTGAAGATGGATTGTATAATTTATTAAGGGGAGTAGGATCGTATTCTGCAGATGAATGCATGTTAATGCACAGTAAATGAATGTGTCACAATGACTCAAAAATGAGGGTGTGTTGTTTTGAGGCTCTGTTGTATGTCTCCCAGGATGGGAAACTGAGACAGAGAGAAATATGGGAGCAGCTAAACTCCAGGCAGGCTGAACTAAATGCTGCTCTTATAGCGCTGCACTGTGTCCGAGAACTCTGCCAGCTCCGCGCAGAAACTGCGCAGGTAAGCACACGCAGAAAGCAATACATCTAATGCTTCAGAATTGAACTATCTTTAAAGAGATAATTTACGCAAAAGTACTAACTTTATTTTCCACTTAACTTGGCTGTTGTCAATAATACCCAGACCATTTAAAAGTGTTTATTTGAGATACCAGTGCCATGGGTATCATAAGTGGAAAATCATGTACAGTGAGCTCCAAAAGTATTGGGACATTGACAAATGTTTTGTTGTTTTGGCTCTGTACTTCAGAACTTTGGATTTGAAATGATACAATGACTATGAGGTTAAAGTGCAGACTATTTTCATCCATATCGGGTGAACCGTTTAGAAATTACATTACGTTTTGTACATAGTCCCCCTATTTTAGGGGACCAAAATAATTGGGTATTAAAGTAGTAAAGAGTTATGTATTTGGTCCAGTATTCCTAGCACGCAATGACTACATCAAGCTTGTGACCCTACAAATTGGTTGGATGTATTTGCTGTTTGTTTTGGTTGTGTTTCAGATGATTTTGTGCCCAATAGAAATGAATGGTAAATAATGTATTGTGTCATTTTGGAGTCACTTTTATTGTAAATAAGAATAGAATATGTTTCTAAACACTTCTACAGTAATGTGGATGCTACCATGATTACGGATAATCCTGAATGAATCCTGAATAATGATGAGTGAGAAAGTTACAGAAGCACAAATAAGTGCATTTTTCCCAATACTTTTTGGGGGACAATGTACAAAACGTTCTGTCATTTCTAAACGGTTCACCTGATATAGATTAACTTTAACTTTAGCCAAATAGTCATTGTATCATTTCACAAACAATTGTTCACTGTCCCAATACTTTTGGAGCTCACTGTATATTTGTTATTGAATAAACTATCCATTTAATATAGTTGACTAGTGTTGCTATTGAGCGTATCTTTCTATCCAGTCTGTGTTATCAGGTTCCTTCTGGTACAAGGAGTTTGGGCTGGCCAGGCCAACGGTCCCCAGTAACCCACTGAAGGTGGTGTCGTTGACCCAGCAGAAAGCCGTGCCTCTCCTGGAGCGCCTCATTCAGCTACTGGAGGAGAGCAAACAGCCAAGTTTCTCCCCGAGCACCTACTGCCAGCGCATCTCTGGTACCTCAGCAGGTGTGAAGTTGGATTTTTCTGTCTTTTTTTTTTCTGATGATAAGGATATTGTTTCCATAGCTTTTTTTGTCAAATATTTGTTCGTAGGTTTGTCAACAAAACAGACATTTGGATTGGAGACATGTTCTCGTGCATGGACCGAGTCAGTGCCTGTGGTGAAAGGTAGGCACAATAGACGGTGGCCCTAGTGGGTCAGATGGCTCACTTGGTTGGAGCATGGTACCGGCAACACTGGTGTTGTAGGTTGGCACAGAAAGACTTAAATGATCACACTATTCTATGTGATAGAACCATTCAACTGCGGTTGCTCGTTGTTCATAGCACTGCCTTATCTAGTAAAAAGGGATCCATTTTCTATGAGTTTCTGTCGTTAACAGTGAGAGATATCTATGCAGGAATCTCCACCCAGTCTCTGAGAGACCCAATGAAGGCTCAGCCTCAGGACCAGGATTCTAAGGGCCTCGGTGTCCCACAGCCCAGTCCTCCTCACTCACAGACAGCTCACAGAACGACTGCAATCTCTGACATACACTCACAAGGTAAGATTAATTGATTCATTTATTCATTAATTAATGACCTTTACTTCATCATAGGCTCTGCTGATCATATTTATGAAGAGTCCTAATGATGTCTCATTCCTTCACAGAGGGCCAGCCTATGAAAGAATCTGTTCAGCCGTCACATGTCTGTGTCCCCACACTGTCAGGTAAAGAACAACATTGAAATGGGCTGTTTATTACAAAATAAAGATTGAATATGACTATTATTTTGTTTCCACTATGACTGTGTGCAGAGAAATTGTAATCTCATCTCGTTTCAATTCTACTCAAGTGCTTTGACTATGTCTCTACCTTGTGGGCAACACATTAATTGCATATAGTATTTGGACATGAATACCAGAAGTTCCCAGGGAAGATCACAAGGATGACTTGTTGTAAATGTAGCCCTGATATAAGTTATGAGTGTCTCATAATGGCATGTCAATGTTTATGTGTGACCTGCTATGTGTGTACAGTATGTGTCTGTGATGATGTTTCCCATACAGAGGAGGAGTGGGATAAATTGCTGGAGCTCTCCCCACTCTTCCAGCTGCTAAAGGGTGTGGAGAGGAAGCTCAGGGGCCTGGCGCGAGATGCAGGACTTTTGAGGGGGGAGCTCGACGGTGGGTTACACAATAGTCTGTATAGTCAAATGCACATCACGAATGTCCTGTGATGTGTTTGGGCCGAAGACTTGTAGAGATTACAGAGGACCCACACACACACGATTGCTCCACCACATACTGCAATATATAATAACCAAACAATACACAATAACAAACAAAACAACATTTATTTTTATATGTACTTCTCTTGTTACCAAATAGTTTGTTCCAAAACCCCCAAAAGAGGAAGGCAAGAATGACACTGGCATGGAGAAAGTCCTTTGGGAGGAAAACTATTCAAGAGAACAAGACCTTAGAGGGGGAGCTCAGTCACTGGGTGGTCAGAAAAACATGTGTTCTGACTAAGAACATACTGTGCCACCTCATTAAACTGAAAGGCTTTGTGAGGGACTCTTTCAGTCAGTCCTTGTTCAACACAAATGTAATATCACACGGTAGCAGTTAATATTTGAGACCAACTCTGGCGTTCAATAAGGAAACAATAGGAAGAAGAACATTTCAGAAACAGTAAAAGTCTAAACAGAGAAACGGGACAGGAAGGAAGACAGATGGGAAGCTTCATCATGGGACTTAAGGCAGAATGGGAAAGATGCTTTATTAATGAAGTTGAGGTGAGATTAGATGTCATTTTTGTGTGGAGCACTTTGAAACAAACTGTCATGGTATACAAATAACTTAATATGCCATTTAGCAGACGCTTTCATCCAAAGCGACTTACAGTCATGTGCGCATACATTTTTACGTATGGGTGGTCCCGGGGATCGAACCCACTACCCTGGCGTTACAAGCGCCATGCTCTACCTTATCTAATTATTAGATAAGGATTATCATCCACTACATGTAGTTCAACTAGTAATTTAACTACATTTTGCAGTAGCTTGGTGGTAGTTGAACTAAATTCAAATGAAGTTAGTGTTTTCAGTAGTTAATGACTTTTTTTGCCATGTAGCGATGTAGCTAGCTACTGGAACTACGTAATCATTTCCTTTCTTTTTCGGCATCAGGCCTGCGTAATTCTCACTTGAATCATTGTTTTTGTGTTTAATAGGCTAAATTACACATTACAGTATGTTACCATATGAACCCAAAGTGATCTGTTCTTGCAATTTGCAATTTGTAGTCTATGACATTTTCGATACATATGATAATTTTTCACTAAGTAGTTTAGATGAAGTGAACTACTTTTTCAAAGTAACTTTAGTTAAGTAAAGTATATTTTTCAGAAGGGTAGCTTTAGTGTAGCTTAACTTCTTCCAGTGTGAAGTAATTGGTAGCTTGGTAACTATATTTTCAGAGTTGCTTCCCAAACACTGACCATCCATCATAATCTAATCACCCCACCACCACGGGAAAAAAGCAGCTAAAGTGTCTGACATAGCAACATAACACCACAGCTGCTTCTTATCCTTCGAGGTTTCTCAACACCGTGAGTCATTATCCCCCTCCCTTTGGCGGTCTTTGTTTACATTTACATTTGAGTCATTTAGCCGACGCTCTTATCCAGAGAGACTTACAGTTAGTGCATTCATCTTAAGATGGCTAGGTGAGACAATGTGAAAAATCCATAGAGTCCATAATAATATATGTTTTTTTCAGTCTGACTATGAAATTAGTCACGAAATTACACAACAAAAATGCAACCAAAAAAGGCCAAACCGGACCACTTGTTCAGGGAAAATCTCAACCAGCTGTGGTTGTGAAGGAACTAGAAAAATATCTGAATCAAAGTGAAAACAAGCAAAAGACAAAAGTAGTGAGGACAAAATAGCCGTTGCCAAAAAGACAATCCCCTGTTAACGACTGCTTTGGTGCTTTGGTAATTATTACCAAATGTCCCACCCACAACACTCAATACAACTTTACTTGACCTAAAATGTATACTTTCAATTGTGATAATACACAGCCTTTGAGAGTTCCTAGACTACTTGTGCTACGTGAAGTGTGAATAGGAAACCCAGCAAGCAGAACTGGTCAACTGGATTTATGGATTGTTTCTGTATTTCAGGCAGAGGGACCTCTTTTATTGACTATCTGGATGCACAGTGGGAGTGTGAAGGAGAGCTGCGCCTTCTCGACCCAGATAGTCTTAATCCCAGAGAGTTCCTGGTCTACCAGCATGGACTATTCCTACTGCAAACACTACATACTCTCAAACTGGTTAGTCACTCACCTTCTCTCCCACATACTGAGAGAGGTTAGTGATGGGTCATAGTTCAAAGCATTGTTCAACTCATCTTTCCAGTCAAAAGGAGATTAATTCATCATTAAATGTGAAAAGTATTTTTCTTTGTCAGTGTGAATGTTCTTAGCACCAATTGTTAATACTTTTCCTCTCATAGACTCCAGCAGTGTCACTCCAGATAGCAACTAGTCTTCCATCCAATAACTACAAATACAACGCCTTCCGAAATTCCTTCTTTTATCAGGTGATGTCCCAATTTCCGCTGTGCGTGTGTGTGTGTTCGTGCATTCATGCATGCGTGCATGCGTGAGTGTGTGCTTATATGAGAGAGAGAGAGAGAGAGAGAGAGAGAGGGAGATTACATTTCTATTTTGGAAAAAAATATGCATTGGGGAACAGTGTGCATGTTGTACAGAGATATGATAATCAACATCAATCAAATCTATTTCCCTTTAGGATTGAATGATAGCTCTGAATCTTGCAGTTTAGCTTCTGACATTTGTGATGTTAACATGTGTGCCACATCTGTTTGCTGCTAACTGATGTCGTGTGTCAGTAGGAAGCTGAGCAGACAGTGTTTGTGCGTCGCCAGAGACTGCAGTCAGTGGGAGGATTCTCTCTGCTCCTCTTGCACTGTCTGTCACACATCGCTGTTGGGGATATGAGCGTCGACTCCAGTCCTACCTTCCAACGGGCTTTCTTCAAGGTGCTGCCAAACTCTGTCTGCATCCCAGAAAGCAACCTTTTTCAAACATAGTGCACTACTTATGACCAGAGCCCTATGGGCCTTGGTCAAAAGAAGTGCACTATATAAGGGAATAGGGTGTCATTTACCAAAATACTGTCTGGAGATGACATAATGTCTTTGTTTGTGTTTATGTGTGTGACAAGTGTGACTGTATCGTGAACAGGGTTGTGTAGTAACGGATAACCTGTAACAGGGATTAGGTAATCACATTACAAAAATTAAGTAACTGTAATCAGCCCAGATGAAATAAAAAAATGTGTAATTAGATTACAGTTACATGCTTAAAAACAGTTGAATACATTTTACATGACTTCTAATATCAAGATGTGAGCTGCAAGTGTTTGCCTCAGACACACAGAAATGGCAGATCTTTATAATTATAATAATAATAATAATAATAATAATATTATAATATAATAATTATATTATAATATGCCATTTAGCAGACGCTTTTATCCAAAGCGACTTACAGTCATGCATGCATACATTATTATTTTTTTTTTTTGAAAGATGTGCTGAGCCACACAGCTCGGAAGTGACCTTTCAGTGGGAATGGAAGCTGTTCCTATCTGCTTTAATCTATCTATTTTGAAATCTCAAAAACTGCTTAGTTGCTTTCCACAGAAACTTTCCCCCCCCTAAAAATGTCAGACCGCCACATACTGAGAACTGAATCCTCCCAGAATTTATGTGGATCTTTGTGTCAAAAGGATCTCTAGTTTCAGTGGAAACAATACAATACAATACAATACAATACAAGTTTATTGTCCATTAGTATGTGGACACCCCTTCAAATTAGTGGATTCGGCTATTTCTGCAGGTGTATATAATTGAGCACACCGCCATGCGATCTCCATAGACAAACATTGGCAGTAGAATGGCCTTACTGAAGAGCTCAGTGACTTTCAACGTGGCACTGTCATAGGATGCCACCTTTCCAGTTCGTCAAATTTCTGCCCTGCTAGAGCTGCCCCGGTCAACTGTAAGTGCTGTTATTGTGAAGTGGAAACGTCTAGGAGCAAGAACAGCTCAGCCGCGAACAGAACACGAACGCAGAGTGTAAAAATCGTCTGTCCTCGATTGCAACACTCACTACCATGTTCCAAACTGCCTCTGGAAGCAACGTCAGCACAATAACTGTTCGTTGGAAGCTTCATGAAATTGATTTCCATGGCCGAGCAGCCGCACACAAGCCTAAGATCACCAGCGCAATACCAAGTGTCGTATGGAGTGGTGTAAATCTCGCCGCCATTGGACTCAGGAGCAGTGGAAACGCGTTCTCTGGAGTGATGAATCACGCTTCCCCAACTGGCGACAACTGTAAAGTTTAGTGGAGGAGAAATAATGGTCTGGGGCTGTTTTTCATGGTTTGGGCTAGGCCCCTTAGTTCCAGTGAAGGGAAATCTTAACGCTACAGCATACAATGACATTCTAGACGATTCTGTGCTTCCAACTTTGAGGCAACAGTTTAGGGAAGGCCCTTTCCTGTTTCATCATGACAATGCCCCCGTGCACAAAGCGAGGTCCATACAGAAATGTTTTGTTGAGATCGGTGTGGAAGAACTTGACTGGCCTGCACAGAGCCTTGACCTCAACCCCACCTTTAGGATGAATTGGCAAGCTGACTGTGAGCCAGGCCTAATCGCCCAACACCAGTGCCTGACCTCACAATTGCCAATTTGTGGCTGAATGGAAGCAAGTCCCTGCAGCAATGTTCCAACATCTAGTGGAAAGCCTTCCCAGAAGAGTGGAGGCTGTTATAGCAGCAAAGGGGGGACCAACTCCATATTAATGCCCATGATTTTGGAATGAGATGTTCGACGAGCAGATGTCCACATACTTTTGGTCATGTAGTCTACCTTTGTGCGATTGTAGTCTGTCACCGTCTCCGGTTTCTTCTTCTGGTCAATGCCGATGGCAACAGTGGGATGCATGGTGCTGAGGACTCTTATTTATTTTACATCTGTACAGCTCCCCTCTCTGTTTATTGTTCCGAGCAGGTCTTCTTTACAATCATCTTGTCTGCCAGGGAAATTGATGTAAAGAAGTTGTCCACAGTCACATTTCTGCCTTTGCCCATGTAAGGCTCCATATGTCTCAAAACCAGTCTCAGACCGTCGCTCACCCGCTGGCCTTGTTTAATCTTAAGTACTTGGTTTCAGCATAACCATAACTTAAATAAACATTTGTCTGGTTTGTTGGCCATGTATTGGGTAAAACGGCACCGAGCTTTGGTCGGGAACAGTTGCTCATCAACAGTTATGTTCTCTCCTGGCTTGTAACAAGCAATGCAATTCTTCACAGAACTTTTCCAGGTGTCTGAGAGCGGCGAACCTGTCTGTCTGCACACATATTGGTCTTGTCTCCTTGTCATCAAAACTAGAGTCATCTCTCTACTCCTGTTTATACCTGGTGCTAGCATGCGTCCTTTGTTCTGATCTTGTCCACTATCTGATTGTGCCCACATATTATCCGTTGCATCTACACATGGTATTAAAATGTGTCTGTTACCCATCCACTGTGTCCACATTGTATGCAAATAATTTGACAGATGTTGTTTTTCAAAATAATATTCCTACATTTATTTTAAGACAAATATTGATGCCATAAGTCAATGGTGCCACCTGTGATTCATTTGGACGGCAGGATAATTATGATTTATATGGTTTCACTGTCCAGATCCATCTTGTAAGATATCCAGACACAATGCATCCCTGGCTACCCCTAGACACAATCGTCTACACCTGTCCAAAATTCTGGGCACAATCAGAATGTGGACAAGATCTGGACAAAGGATGCGTGATAGGACCAGGTATAAACGGGGCTACTGAAGCGGTTGCATACCTATCAGACCAAAATGACTCCACATCCCTGCTCTTTCTGCCGTATGCCCCGCAGACATACAAGAGTGCAATAAAGGCATGTCCCACCCACGTACTGTTTACTTTCCTGTGCGCATGAGCGACAGTACAATCTATGATGTGCTACAACATCTGCATGTCACATAAGCAAAGAAAACTGTAGAGTGCGCTGGCAATTTGTCTCTTTGCGTGAGGTGTAGGGCCTGCTCTCTCTGTGAGAATATTCTGGAAAGGGAGCCTTCCTGTTGCGCTCTCGTCACTCTTTCTACCCAAACAGTGCCTTCCCTCTCAGACTTCTGTTTCAACATGGCAGTTGGAATTACCGTCTCAGTTGGCCCTGTTCTGGTTTTTCTGCGGCGAGGCTCAGGCACCAGAATCAGATGAAGACTCTTCATCAGCAATGCTGCTTTCAAGCTCAATATCCGATCCTACATCCGACTCCAGCTCATCTAAATTCTTTGTCCATTTGTTTGGTTCGGATTGCAATTATGAATTACATACGCTGTATGTTTTACTTAGCATCGGGGGCGGCGTGAGAGTTAAGATACTCTTCAAAGAGATAGGGTTTCAGACATTTTTGAAAGATGGGCAGGGACGCCGCTGTCCTGACTTTAGAGGGAAGCTTGTTCAACCAATGGGGTGCCAGGACAGAGAAAATTGGCCTACACAAATTGGCCTGAAACTAATCCAAGGCCACAAAGACAGTCATAAGTACTGAGCAATCAGACAGTTCAAACAGCAATGATTAACTAGGCTACTAGGTAAAAGACAGCACTTAAATGCAATGGCCCTAGCAAGACAATACCAACAGCTACTTATTGAATCAAAAAATATACTTGCTGCTCTTGTAAGAGTTGATCCCCTTCCAAACTATAGATGACACACTAAGACTGGGCCCAAGTAAGGCTCCTTAAATAGTCAGGGAAGACAGGCAAGGCCACTCCCTCTTAAAACAACCAACAGTACCAAGGGCAATTACATAATAGGCCTGAAACTAATCCAAGTCCACAACGACAGTTAGAAGTACTGCACAATCAGACAGTTCAAACAGCACTATTGTTCTAAATTCAAACATCCTCTTCACCCTCATCATTCAGATCATTCAAATTAAATTGTGAAGTCACATGCAAATTGTCAGTTTCTATCTGGTTTCTATCACCAATTCATCAATTGATGTCATTCATTCAGTGTGGAGAGAGACACATTAGTGCCTGGGTACAAACACCCTTCAGCACGTTTGTCTAGGCCCCTTAAGTTAGCAATAGCTGTAAAAAAAATACCAACAAAAAAAACTGGTTACCAGCCTCTAAATACTTTTCTGTTTGTGATTGTACAATTCTGACAACTGAGCAATGTAAAATATAAATATTTAGGAAAAGTCATTCAAGGAGTAGCTTTTTTTTGGCTGCTTTTTTTAACAGAGTGGATGCAGTTCTGGATTTTCTGGAAACCTAAAAATATGTTGATTTCTGTGCATGTGTGATAGAATTAAAAGTGCCTTAATAATAACTAAATAATAATACAAAATCATTATGTGTACCAGTAAGTAATATGCTATTAATTTATCTAAATGTTGATTATACGATCTGTGTGCTCTATTAAATGTCTGATCTGAGTTTGATTGGTTATACCTAGGAATTCCTATAGGGGTGCACGGGCATTCCCAGCTCACTCATTACAAGTGACCTGAAGCCGAAGCTACATCTACATGTGATTTATTTCTATATTTCCCCCTTTCAGGGGCATAACACATGCGGGATCCACTAGCCTACCTCCTTTCAGTTGGTGCTTGTACACAAAACATTTAGAACAAACTTAGTTCTCTGACTGTTGTAACAGTAGGCTATTGCAAACATAAGCACGGCACAAACAGGTATTCTAGCAATTTTATGTTATTTTTTCAGGAGGGGAGTTACATGCAGCTATTTACATGCAGCTGCAGTTGAAGTCGGAAGTTTACATACACCTTAGCCAAATACATTTAAACTCAGTTTTTCACAATTCCTGACATTTCATCCTAGTAAATATTCCCTGTCTTAGGTCAGTTAGGATCACCACTTTATTTTAAGAAAGTGAAATGTCAGAATAATAGTAGAG